CTTTCAATGATTGTTGTACATCCTATTGATAAATTCTGTGGAATGCTGTTCATATATATATATGTACGCATAACCTGCTATGTACCAGCAAACTGTGTCCTACCAGTTCAATACTACTAAAGATGAATAAAACTATTGTTTTAAAAAAAAAAAAATAGATCCCTTTTGTGCATCCACATTGTTTGGAGTAATGTATTTAGCGTTTCAAAAACAACTTAATTGTTGTGGGCCCCCCTCACATTTTGATTTCTGTGCAATTCTGTCTAAAGCTAGTAGATTGTATAATCTGACTGAAAAGTGTGGGATATCATGATATAAAGGTACTAGCCTTCCCTGCTTCTTCAGTTTCTTCCCCTTACTGTGTGTATTCTTAGTTTGGCATAGCTGTTTGTAATGTTTAAAATGGTTTTCGTTAGTGTTACTAAAGGCAAAACTTTTTGTTTTTTTTGACTAGAGTAAGGGAGAGATATAACTCTCTGTCAGGTTTTTTTATATTCTCTGTTCCATTGGGGGAAATTTACCTTCACTTCCTGTTCCATAGCCAAAACAGGAAATAAGAGGAAGTCCCTCCAAAGTGAGGGAATCCTGGGGTGTCACCAGATTAATTAGTATCCCCATTGGAAGATTTACCCCCTCTATACCTGTTCTGATGTCAACCCAAAATGTGGGTTTTTTTTTTAACTTTCATTTTCAATTGAAATGGTAAACGGGACAAATAGTGAAGGTGAATTTCCCTAACAGGTGCACAGACAATAAAACCTGGCAGGTGTGTTCTAATCCACCTCCACTCTATTCAAAACAGGAAATAAAAGGATTACATTTTGTGATGCTTGAACCTCTTTCCGCCCATAGGCCTTATATATAAGTTGCAGCTACATCAATGATCCCGGTATTGTTCTTTTCAGGCAGTGATTCCCTATCTGGTAAAACTGATTCAAGCCCAAAGGCAACCATGCATGTAGGGGACCTACAGAGGCTCATATATATAAATGGGCCTCTGCTTAAATTAAAAAAAAAATATTTATGTTTGAGGCTTCTAAGTAATTTTTTAGCAAAAGTGCTGATTTGTACATGTATGTGAGAAATGTCAGAATTGGCCTGGGGGTCAAGTGGTCAATCTAAAATGGAAAAATTCTATCCTGTATTCATTTGGCTTGCTGTGCTCATGTTAGTAAGGATGTATTTGCACATAATCGAATATCAATCTAGTTTACCTGTTTTTTGTTTTGTTTTTTTTCCCCAACATTACATACGGTATAGCCAAATCTTTAGCAAAGTTAAAATTTTTTTTTTTTTTGGTTCTATTTCCTATATTTATAACCTTTTTTTAGGCCCATGATGAGGGTGATATGTCCTCCACAGCTGCAAGACTTGCTCAGGTAAGGCTGTATGAATTTCTAGTGCATGCTTGTTTATGCTTCTCATTATTACCTTACAAACCGCACTAGTTGGACTTCAACTTGCAATGGCATTATGCTTTAATTGACATGATTGCGTTGTTTGCCTGTCTTTTTTGGGTACTTAAAAAAACCTAAGAAAAGGGCAAGAAAAACTTACTCCTAACCCTTTCGCTGCCAGGCCTTGCACTCCACTTTTAAACCCAGGTGGCCAAACCATTTTTGCAATTTTTTCATTGCTTTTCTTTTCTCTTACAGCTTTTCAAAGTTTGTAAAAGACCCTCCAAACCATATATTTTCTGAAAGTACATGACCAGTAGAATAAAAAGAAGGTGCTACTGATTTTTAAGACCCCACAATATTTGCGTAAATGTTTATCAAAACAATATTTTTGCTAAAAATACATTAAAATCATTATTAGCAGATACAAACACAGCAAAATTTGCATTCTTCCTGCTATATTCCTACTAAATATAATAGGTTTAAGCTGTATTGAGTTAATAAATAACAAGGATTTGTAAATCTTCAATTGCACATTTTTGCGAAATGGTGAAAATTGAACGTATGCAAAAATTACTCTAGAAATCTGGAGGTTTTAATTTTTTTTTTTTACCATACAGCTTTGATCACTATTTTTACTAAACATCCTTATTTGCAAAAATAAACACAACGTAACTTACAAAATTCCTTGTACTCCCATGGAGGGCCGTGTTTACCTGCATGGGGATGCACAGGTGTTTAGCTAAGAGGGGTCTTAGGGATTCCCATTGCTACTAAGTATTACAAAGCAGCCCACGTAGCACCTCTTGTTATGTTACACTCCAGAATGTGCACTCTAATGGACACTACAGATTAACCTAGCTGCAGTCTCTTCACTGACCCTGTTTTTGTATACAGTGATTTGGGTTATTCTTACCAAATAAACGTAGCAGAATACATTTTGACTTGAATTTAAGAAGAAAAATTATTTGAAAAATTTTCTAACAAACTAAGAAAAAATGGGTTTTTGTTCCAAAACTTTTGATCTTTTTTTCGTTTATATAGCTAAAGAAAAAAAACCCAGTAGTGATTGAATGCCACCAAAAGAAAGCTCCATCTGTCTCAAAAAATTATCAACGTATATTTGAGTACATTGCTTCATCACTGAACAGTTGTCTTTCAAAGTGCAACAGCACTTAAAACTTAAAGATGCTCTGGGCACTGAAGGGGTGAAAGTGTCCGGATGGTTAATTTAATTTCCTTTTTTTATTTTCACCTGATATTCCTGCAAATAACACACTTATTGTCCTAAGTTGGCTATGCTCACAGCTCTGTATCTTTAACCACTTCCACTATAGTCAAATGACGGCTGGGCGAACCTCTCGTCCCTCCAGGAGGGCGTCATATGATGTCCTACCTGGATCGAGCTTTGCGCATGCCTGCAGGGCTACGCTGTGGCGAGATCTGTCACCGGCCCTGTACCTCGGACACGGACGATGACAGATCTGTGTACCAGACCTGTTTCCAGTACCATGTGACCTGCTGTGACCAATCACAGCAGGTCACATGACAGTTGTATACAATGGATGGCTTCCTTTCATTCCATCAATTGTATATGTGTGTCTAGCTGTGAATGGTCACAGTAATCACATGCACAGGTTGGGCCAGTCACAGCCCATCTGTGTCATGTGATTAGCCATGGCCAATCACAGCTAATCACAACAAAAAAGGCTGAATGAATCGATTTCATACAGTTAAATGCTTGCTTATAGCAAATAAATTCTTTGCTATAAGCAATCAAATTGTGTAAAAAAAGAAAGAAAAAAAATACTGATCACTTCCCAAAAGTAGTACAATGTTACTATGGTAACATTATCAATTTTTATTTTTTGGGTTTTTTTTTTTCGTAATGTCACCAGTCAGTGTCCCTCATCACTGCCACACCAGTTATATGATGACACTGCAGTGGTGACAGTATGTAAAAAAAAAAAAAAAAAAAACAAATTGTGAAAATAATTTTTTTAATTTCATTTTCTGAAAAATTATGGCAAAAAAATTACAACTTCAAAAAACTGACCATGCCTCTTATGGAATACGTCGGACTGTATGCTTTGCAAAAAGGGGTCATTTAGGGGATACCTGTACTGTTCTGACATTTTTGGATCTTAAGAAATTAGATTGGCCTGGTAAAAGTGCCCGGTATTGAAGTGGAGTCATGGTTTTCACTAGGCTGCTTTCCTGATTTGACTTCCAAACTTTTCTATCCTCCTCCTCCATTAAATCGAGGCATTTTTCACAGCAGGTAGTTGGGAAAACTAATAAGGTTGTTTGATACATCAGTTCAGTGGTTAGGAAATTGCAAGAACACTAGAATTGTCGCAAAAGTTATTGAAACGTAAAAAAAAAAAAAAAACTATGCAAGCACCACATCTAATCACTGGTAAAATGTAATATATTTTTTGTTTTTGGGCTTATATACCTTTTTACGGAAAGTTGCAGAAAAAAAATGACAAAGCAATACTTTTAAAATACAGTATTGACTTGCTCAAAATACACCCTAACTTCTTTCTAATTAATTAACAAAACAGCGTATGACTGTATACGGTATGAGTTTCAACCCCATGAGAGCCAGATTATGTAGTGTTCTAATCATTTCATGGTCCCCTGCTTTCAAAAGGTTGCATGTGTATACTACAACATCATGAATGTTCACATTTTGTTACACCTGCCAATTTTGTGTTGTAACGTTGTATGTTCAGACAAGCACAATTACCGACAAACCTTTGCAAAATGCCTAACTTAACATCATGGGTTTCCTGCACATTTTGATAGAAGCACGTTACTGCCCTCTACTGTTTGTGTCTGCATGGCTGTGTAGAACAATGTATGTTTGCTTCTATGATAACTGCATCTCATAGTGTACTTCTGAACTGAATAGATTTTCTCTTTTACTGTTTCATTTGATGTCTGTCGAACACAGGAAGTGAAAATAAAGCAAATGAGGCCAACAATAAACATATTACCCCTTCCACACCTTATTCAAAATATGAAACAGCTTGGCTGAGTTGAGCTTTGTACAGTTTCCTAAACCCATGGACAACATATAGTATATTGCAGTTTACCAGTTGTAGTGATTTGCATGTGTTTTTTTTCAGGTTAAATATATTTTTTACACATGCAGAAAACTACCTGTTTGTTATGATAGAATTCTAGTGTCTACAACTTTTGTGTACTGAATTGATATCTAGAACAAAATTACCAGCTTTTCCAGTTGTCTCCTGTGAGCTGCAGAACTCTACCTTCCTATGTGGTGGAGATGAGCAGAATGAATGTTTTTGTCCAAATCAGGGGATCTGACTAGAGGAATAACAAACTGCTTTTCCCAATGAGCTAACGTTGTCTTTTTTTAGGGCAGAAATTGTTACTGCCAGGATCATCTGTCACAAATATGGGGGGGGTGGGGGGCCTGAAAAAAAAAACTAATGCAGGTACAGCGTCAAATGGACTGACTACATTATACAGAATGTGAATTTGGGTTTACATTTTCTGTTTCAGTTGTCTCAATGTTAATAGATCTTTTAATAATGTTCTTTCTTTTCTTATGCAATATGTTTTGGGTTTTAGATGGCTGGAATGCCACTTCCTACTTTGCCGGGTCCTCCTCCTCCTCCTCCCAACCTAGGAATGCCCTTCCCATTAGGCATGAATTCAGAAATAAATAAACCGATACAGAATGACTCACTCCCAAAGGTTTGAAATAATTGTCAGTTGGTAATTCTTTGTATAAAGACTGTTTTTGTTTTTATTTTCTAAGTAAATCCTAATCTTTTCTTTTAGGCAACACTCATTGATCAGGATTCTCCTGCCGCAAGATCCCTTCTTCTTCCTAGAGGTAGTAATAGATACATACAGTGGGGCAAAAAAGTATTTAGTCAGCCACCAATTGTGCAAGTTCTCCCACTTAAAAAGACGAGTGAGGCCTGTAATTAGCATCATAGGTGGACCTCAACTATGAGAGACAAAATGAGAAAAAAAAATCCAGACAATCACATTGGCTGATTTGGAAAGAATTTATTTGCAAATTATGGTGGAAAATAAGTATTTGCTCACCTACAAACAAGCAAGATTTCTGTCTCTCAGACCTGTACCTTCTTCTTTAAGAGGCTCATCTGTCCTGCACTCATTTCCTGTATAAATGGCACCTGTTTGAACTTGTTATCAGTATAAAAGACACCTGTCCACAACCTCAAACAGTCACACTCCAAACTCCACTATGGTGAAGACCAAAGAGCTGTCGAAGGACACCAGAAACAAAATTGTAGACCAGGCTGGGAAGACTGAATCTGCAATAGGCAAGCAGCTTGGTGTGAACAAATCAACTGTGGGAGCAATAATTAGAAAATGGAAGACATACAAGACCACTGTTAATCTCCCTCGATCTGGGGCTCCACGCAAGTTCTCACCCCGTGGGGTCAAAATGATCACAAGAACGGTGAGCAAAAATCCCAGGACCACACGGGGGGACCTAGTGAATGACCTGCAGAGAGCTGGGACCAACGTAACAAAGGCTACCATCAGTAACACTACGCCGCCAGGGACTCCAATCCTGCAGTGCCAGACGTGTCCCCCTGCTTAAGCCAGTACATGTCCGGGCCCGTCTGAAATTTGCTAGAGAGCATTTGGATGATCCAGAAGAGGATTGGGAGAATGTCACATGGTCAGATGAAACCAAAATAGAACTGTTTGATAGAAACACAACTCGTTGTGTTTGGAGGAGAGAGAATGCTGAGTTGCATCCAAAGAACACCATACCTACTGTGAAGCATGGGGGTGGCAACAGCATGCTTTGGGGCTGTTTCTCCGCAAAGGGACCAGGACGACTGATCCATGTACAGGACGGAATAAATGGGTCCATGTATCGTGAGATTTTAAGTGCAAACCTCCTTCCATCAGCAAGGGCATTGAAGATGAAACGTGGCTGGCTCTTCCAACATGACAATGATCCCAAACATACCGCCCGGGCAATGAAGAAGTGGCTTCGTAAGAAGCATTTCAAGGTCCTGGAGTGGCCTAGCCAGTCTCCAGATCTCAACCCCATAGAAAACCTTTGGAGGGAGTTGAAAGTCCGTGTTGCCCAGCGACAGCCCCAAAACATCACTGCTCTAGAGGAGATCTGCATGGAGGAATGGGCCAACATACCAGCAACAGTGTGTGCCAACCTTGTGAAGACTTACAGGAAACGTTTGACCTCTGTCATTGCCAACAAAGGATATACAGTCAACTCCATAAATATTGGGACATCCACACAATTCTAACATTTTTGGCTCTATACACCACCACAATGGATTTGAAATGAAAGGAACAAGATGTGCTTTAACTGCAGACTGTCACCTTTAATTTGAGGGTATTTACATCCAAATCAGGTGAACGGTGTAGGAATTACAACAGTTTGCATATGTGCCTCCCACTTGTTAAGGGACCAAAAGTAATGGGACAGAATAATCATAAATCAAACTTTCACTTTTTAATACTTGGTTGCAAATCCTCTGCAGTCAATTACAGCCTGAAGTCTGGAACGCATAGACATCACCAGACGCTGGGTTTCATCCCTGGTGATGCTCTGTCAGGCCTCTACTGCAACTGTCTTCAGTTCCTGCTTGTTCTTGGGGCATTTTCCCTTCAGTTTTGTCTTCAGCAAGTGAAATGCATGCTCAATCGGATTCAGGTCAGGTGATTGACTTGGCCATTGCATAACATTCCACTTCTTTCCCTTAAAAAACTCTTTGGTTGCTTTTGCAGTATGCTTTGGGTCATTGTCCATCTGCACTGTGAAGTGGCGTCCAATGAGTTCTGAAGCATTTGGCTGAATATGAGCAGATAATATTGTCCGAAACACTTCAGAATTCCTTCCTGCTGCTTTTGTCAGCAGTCACATCATCAATAAATACAAGAGAACCAGTTCCATTGGCAGCCATACATGCCCACGCCATGACACTACCTCCGCCATGCTTCACTGATGAGGTGGTATGCTTAGGATCATGAGCAGGTCCTTTCCTTCTCCATACTCTTCTCTTCCCATCACTCTGGTACAAGTTGATCTTGGTCTCATCTGTCCATAGGATGTTGTTCCAGAACTGTGAAGGCTTTTTTAGATGTCGTTTGGCAAACTCTAATCTGGCCTTTTTTTTGATGCTCACCAATGATTTACATCTTGTTGTTAACCCTCTGTATTCACTCTGGTGAAGTCTTCTCTTGATTGTTGACTTTGACACACATACACCTACCTCCTGGAGAGTGTTCTTGATCTGGCCAACTGTTGTGTAGGGTGTTTTCTTGACCAGGGAAAGAATTCTTCGGTCATCCACCACAGTTGTTTTCCGTGGTCTTCCGGGTCTTTTGGTGTTGCTGAGCTCACTGGTGCATTCCTTCTTTTTAAGAATGTTCCACAGTTGTTTTGGCCATGCCTAATGTTTTTGCTATCTCTGATGGGTTTGTTTTGTTTTTTCAGCCTAATGATGGCTTGCTTCACTGATAGTGACAGCTCTTTGGATCTCATCTTGAGAGTTGACAGCAACAGATTCCAAATGCAAATAGCACACTTGAAATGAACTCTGGACCTTTTATCTGCTCATTGTAATTGGGATAATGAGGGAATAACACACACCTGGTCATGGAACAGCTGGGAAGCCAATTGTCCTATTACTTTTGGTCCCTTAACAAGTGGGAGGCACATATGCAAACTGTTGTAATTCCTACACCGTTCACCTGATTTGGATGTAAATACCCTCAAATTAAAGCTGACAGTCTGCAGTTAAAGCACATCTTGTTTGTTTCATTTCAAATCCATTGTGGTGACGTATAGAGCCAAAAATGTTAGAATTGTGTCAATGTCCCAATATTTATGGACCTGACTGTATAACAAAGTATTGAGATAAACTTTTGATATTGACCAAATACTTATTTTCCACCATAATTTGCAAATAAATTCTTTCCAAATCAGCCAATGTGATTGTCTAGATTTTTTTTTTCTCATTTTGTCTCTCATAGTTGAGGTCTACCTATGATGCCAATTACAGGTCTCTCTCATCTTTTTAAGTGGGAGAACTTGCACAATTGGTGGCTGACTAAATACTTTTTTGCCCCACTGTACATTAGGAGTTCTCATTTCTGTCCACAGAGGTCTGCATATAGCCCTGTTTTTGTTTTTAATTTGCAGGCAACCTTCCTATTGGAGCTGTCATTCCACCACTGATACCTTCGATGGCTCGACAGCGAGTCCTCAGTCAGACACCTGGAGATGAATCTAGAGAGGCAAGTTTTTCCTGATATGACCAATTGGCAGTGCAAAGTCTTGGATTTATGGCAAACTGAATATGGACTTGATTCCAGAGACTTTGAACTTGAGTCAATGACATCAGCTTAAAATTAGCTTATGTCACTTCTGAGATTGTTCAGAATTCATTGATGGCTGCGTCTGACCTGCTATTATTCCCCATTTGACCTGTTTCATGGGGATTTTGCTTTCCCCTAGATTTGTATGGGCATTCAAAGTCCGTCTGGTGTGAATAAGAGCCCATAAAAAATTTTACTTCCCAAAAGATTTTTAGAACCCTGTGTCTGTCTATTTATAGATTAGTTTGGTTCTTCAGAGTTTTTCATGAGTAATTTTAATTGATGTTGTTGCCCTATAGACAGAAGATTCTTCAGTAGGCCCAAAGATTCCTCAAGTCCTTGAAAAAATTCTACAGCTTAAAGAGATCAGGCAAGAGGAGATGAGTGTGACAGTTACCACAGGTAATGTGTTTTACTTTTACTGATAATTTTGAAGCATTTGACTATATTTGGAGCCAATATATAAATCATTACAAGAAACAGAGGTTTTCTTTCTTGTCCTTTGAGAGGCACAGGAAGTCATATACTTTCAGGTTATACTGACACCTACAGTAGGATTAAACACTAGCAGAGAGAAGAGTTGTCAGCGAACAACTTTTCTACCCAGCATTTTGGCATTCATTTCCTCCAGTGTTTTGTGTGTTTTTTGAGAAAGCAAGAGCCATTGTTCAGGAAAATGGATGCCTTCTCTGCTTGGTGTACTCGTTGGCTAGCCATGGATCACTTTTCTGTGTCTAGATCCTTGCTATGGCCTTAGGTATGACTCTGTGTCGGAGGACTCGCTCTGAGTAGACTTCTGGACATTGAGAGTCTAGCATGAATGTGACATATGGGCACTTTATACTGTTAAATTTAGAGGAAGCATCATCTCGCTACTGTTCTTGCTGTGGTTGTCCAGTTTTGATTACACTGCCACCTACAGTGACGTTTTCACCACTGGCTTCCTAAAACCCTCATTGACACCAGCTGTCTGGGTTTCTAAGTACTTGAGATCTTGCCTATCAATGGGCCCTGTTGCTTACTGTCACGTAGTGAAAAATGTCTTCGTAAAGACACACAGGACAATCCTGCTCACAGATGACCTCAGGCCAAACTCTGCTAGTGGTTCTGGAGTTGTTTACTCTGTATCTCCAGATGGAACTGATGTCTGTAATTTGCAACCTGGGCTTTCTATTCTTTTCTATTACTGCTTCAATTCTATCAGGGTTGATGGACTTCCTCCATGTTCACTATGGACTTCTTAACTTTTTGTGCACAGTTACTGGAACATTCTGCTAACAGAGAGGCTGTAAGTGTGCTCCAGTGTCATCCACTGCCGAGTCTGTTTCTGACACTACTGAGACCGTAAAAAAATAATTTGGGGCCTGCAATCTCTGTTCTCTGATCTGATTTCCAAGAGTCTGTTTCAGGAGAGGATGTTTTTGAGTCAATTCAGTTTCCTGTTGACTTGGATACACGGGGTTTTTTTCAAACCTTGTTGATGCGGTGTATATCGGCTTGCATCTACAGAATCTGCTTGCTTTTCCAGACCTTGGGTCTTTTATAGTCCCTACAGTTGTAAATGTCTTTCCAATTCACATTTTAAAGCTTCCTCTATGCAAACTGGTAACACCGTGAAGGGTCCTTTGCCCCACTTGGGAGTGTGCCAGAACATTTTTCCTTTTGAGAAGGTATTTACAGATTGGTGGTCTGGATGCACCAGTGATCTTGCCCTTCAAGGTTTCACTGACATGAAGTTGAATTCCCTTCTTAGATCTCAGTTGAACTTAACTGGGTTTTGCCCTCTACCCTGTGTTGGCAGGAATTTTGAATTGTCATACCATGTAGGTAAAATCACTTAGAGAGGATCCCTCAACCACTGGGTTAAGCCCTCGTATTATAGAGAAATGTCTGGAGTCTTGTGCTTTAGTTGCTACTGCTTGTTAAAGGCCTCTAAACCTGTCTTAATCATGCCTGTACAAATACACAGGGCACTCAGGCTGCTTATTTGGGATTCTGAGATGTCCAAGGAACAGCTCAATTGTTTCCACTTCAAGGAATGTTACCTCTTTGGACCTGCTCTTGACACTATCATTAGCAAAGTTACCAGTGCTCAAGCGCAGGAAATCTGGGGAAGAATTTGAGAAAGCCCACCCTTCTCTGTCAGCTTAAGACCGTTAGTACACATAGACCAATTGTGGCCTCACAAGTGTCTAGTGTTGGTAACTATTTGAGGATTTGAGCTTAACAGCCTTGCCTGTTGGTGACTGATAAAAGTCCACATCCTATGGAGCAGTGGACCTTTCCGTTAAATGATATTAAACCCAATACAAATATGTCGTGTATTGCAGCTTATCAATCCTATGTAGTGGCTACATTAGGTTTCTTTCTTGGGCTTTTTTCCCCCCTCTGTTTTCACCTCCTGTATTATACAGACACCACTCCGGATGAATGAGTGCAGGTGGAAGATTTGGACAGCAGCATTGTTAGTCTGGGGGAAGGGGAGTGTTAGATGTACAAGTGGATTTAAATACAGTAACAAATTGCAGGTTAACTCCAGCTAATATTTTATAATCAGTTACAGCAGACCGTTTTTTTTTCTTCCATTTTAGGGTAATGTTTTTACATAAATAAATAAAAGCTACTCATTTTAAGCACCCCTGCCAGTGGTATAAGGTCTTTCACATTCCTGTACCTGCAAGAGAGCTTATCTGTTGGAAAGCAACAGAGTTACTGGCTGGATCACCAGAAGAAATAAAAGAGAGCCTAAAATAGAAAGCTAACACAGCCATCACATCTAAGAATTGGTATATGCAATATAATGCTTGCTTTTGTGTTTAATACTGCTTTAACTTTCAGGGAAATGCCCCCTTTCATATTTAGGGGTTTGTAGGGTGTTGAGGGATTACCTTGCAAACATTGTCCTCATTCTTTGACTGCCTGTCTTCTGATGCCTTTTCATCAGTATTTAGGTGCCAGGTTCTCTGGCGTTGCATTTAGATGGTCCCTGGTGTAAACCATCAGTTGCTTAAGGTTATTGGGTTGGTCTCTTACTATCACCCTGGGAGGGCTCATTTTTATACTGGTGTCCTCATACCTAGGAATTAAGTCTGTTTCCCAGAGCAGTAGGTAGTAGTTTTCTTCTGGGGATCTCACTGTGAGTAGTTCTCTGGATGTGAACAAATACAATACAAACATTTCTTAGCACATTTATAAGCTAGCCAGCCAGCAATAACAAAAAAAAGGTAATTACACGACTCGCACACAAATGGTATGGTTGCTCAGCATTGCAAATCTATGTGGAAGTCACACTGCTCCTCTGTGTAGTGGGGTCCCAACTCTAATCCATGATTCTGTAAGAGTCCCTCTCTATTTTAAAGCATATACAGAAATAGATAAATTGGGGACAAGTGTGCCTGGAGGTAATCTATTCCTCCATAATTAGTAGGGACACACCAGATGCCCAGCACAAAACAATAGCAGCTTAAGACCTCCATGCCAAATCCAGCAAGTCAAACAAAATGGCAATTGCTACAATCAATTTGCAACTAACTTTTTAACGTACAGTGCACATGGAAGTTTACACAGAACTTTAACAATATAAACGTTTCCGGACACACTTACCATCCAGCAAATTACATTGTTTAGCACTTTGTGTTAATTTAGAGGTTTTAGTTGCACAACATTTGTAAATATATGTGGTAATCTCCATTTAAGACTTGACTTCTACTCCGTTGGACATCACTTTGGTGTTGTAGGACTGTTATTCATAACCACACGGTCTCCCTTACACACTGCATTGCATTCTGGCTCTTTTCAACCTGTAGTCTCTATTCCAGAGAGGAGTTTGCCCCATCTCCTGCTTGGGAGGAAGAAAACACCACTGTAGTGCCTGGTGTTTCCCTGGATTGACAGCTCACGCTGGAGGATACCACAGGTACTTCATGTTAGGGATGGTGTACACCCAAAAGACCTTTGTGGGACCTCCTCTTACTGTTGCTGTTCATTAACCTCTTGAAGCATTTCAAGATCCCTTCCACAGTCATATGTTCCTAAACAAGTGAAGGTTCTTGGCTCTATGACTATGGCTCCTGCCCCTTGTTCCACTGACACTTCACTGAATTAGACAGGATGGCTTAGTTTCATGTTCTGAATCTGGTTTCTGGATTCCACAGGGGTTCTTGGTCAGGCCCCAGCAACCCGGTCAGGTGTCTTAGTGGATGGGTTTGGCTATCCTCCTGCCTTGTAGTGTTTTGTACACTGGTCTCGAGTGGTAGTTTTACCCTTTTAAGGGTACCTCTTTGCACCATACTTTCTCTTATTCGGTCTAGCTAACTTTGAGATTTGTATCTTTTGGGTTAGCTCAAATTTTTCCTTGGGTCCTTTGATTATCCCCTTGGGATATTATACTGGAGCTTCTCTCTGCCTTGTAAATTTCCTAGTGAGATTGGATGACTGGTCAGGTATCCATATTCTTACTGAGAGCCTTCCGTGCCTGGTTTCAGGGGTTGGAAGTATAAAGGTTGTGTATATGTTCACCCATAAACCTGTTGATCTTTCTTGTGGACCTGTTTTTTCCTTCTAGGGATTCTCCTTTGACCCTGAGAAAAATTTGCAGTGTTTTGATTGTTAACCATAACTTTTTGTTTCTCTCTCTATTGAGTACTTGTGTTGCTTCAGTTGTTGATGACCGTTTTTTAGCTCACAAATGTTGCTAATGCAGGCTCAGTGTCCCATCAAGTGTAGTCTTTCCCTTTGGCTGAGGCTCTTCTGTTCTGGTCTGAGCATTAGGTTGATTCTTTGTGACCTTGCTTCACCTGTCGTCCCTGTTTCAAAATTCCTGTATCTCCATAAAGGGACACGAGTTCGGGGCATTCACCTTTGCACATTGTGTAACAAGTGTAGTTAGGGGTATGCCCACCAGGATCTGTCAAGTTTGGTCCCCTAAAAAACCTACAGCATGGATAAGGTCAGACAGGTTCTTCAGTAACTTTGACCTTTGTCCTGTTTTACATGTAGGGCGAGTTTTCAATTAGGACAGTGGTCTCCAAACTGTGACCCAGGGGCCAGATGTGGCCCTTTGCTTGTCTTTATCAGGCCCTTGGGGCACTATTCTTCCTACTGATGCAAGGCAATATTCCTTCTACTTACACCAACAATGGGGCATAATTCCTACCACTGATCCTAACAATTGGGCACTATATTTCCCACTGATACCAATGATAGGGCACTATACTTCCCATTGACACCAATGATAGACTATTCCTTCCCCTGATACCAACAATGAGGCACTACTCCTCCCACTGACACCAATAATGGGGCACTATTTCTTCCCATAATACCAACAATGGGACACTTTCTTCCACTTAGACCAATGTTGGGACATTGTTTACTCCCATTGATGCCAGGACATTCTCTACTCATGCTGGCTATGTTCTGGCCCCCTCAAAGTCTCAGAAGCAGTAAATTGACCCTATATTCAGAATGTTTTGAGACCACTGAGTTAGGATGTTATTCCCCTCTGTAAATACACTATTTTGCCAAAGTATTGGGACACCCCTCCAAATCATTGGATTCACGTGTTTCATTCACCTCCATGGCTACAAGTGTATAAAATCAAGCATCTAGGCGTGCAGAGACTGCTTTTACAAGCATTTGTGAAAGAATGGATCGCTCTCAAGAGCTCAGTGAATTCAAGCGTGGTACAGTGATTAGTTTCACCTGTGCAATAAGTCCATCTGTGATATTTCCTTGCTACTAAATATTCCACGGTTAGCTGTTAGTGGTATTATAATAACGTGGGAGCAACAGCAACTCGGCCACGAAGTGGTGGGCCATGTAAAGACAAAGCGGGGTCAGCGCATGCTGAAGCACACACGGTGCGCAGAAGTTGCCAACTGCTTGCAGGGTCAATAGCTAAAGACCTCCAAACTTCATGTGACCTGCATCCAAGCTTTACATCACCAAGTGCAATGCAAAGCGTCAGATGCAGTGGTGTAAAGCACGCTGCCACTGGACTCTAGGGCTGGGCTCAAGACATCCCAGGTCGCACTGGTGACTAGAAATTGTGCCCTGGCGCCAGGGTTCACCCACACTGCCTCCCATAGGCTTCTATGGGAGGTCGCGCCTCCCATAGGCTTCTTTGGGAAAACTCCTGTCAGTAGCAATCCTATGTGAACACTTATCTCTGCATGCCCCCCTTCTCTATCACTTGCAAGTCTGGAACGCACCGCCACAGACTCGAACAGGGCCCTTTTCATAATGGCACTCAAACACAATGTGTGTGGATCGTATCTGTGTGAAACACCTCAATAGGGACACAAAATATCTAGCCTGTCAGGTGAATCTTTAAAATTTTTAAAACAAATCCAGAATCGCATATGTGTGAACCAAGCAGGTTCCATTCACACCTGGGTGTTTTGGGACCGTGACAGAATTGCTGTGATCATAAAACACAGGTTCAGGTGCCATTATTTTCGGTAGCACCTAAAACATGGTGTGGCTTTGCTGTGATTGTCGCGTGGCAAATTGCATTGCGTGAAGTCCCGGGCACTGAACCGATGCTACCCTAAAAAAGGAAAAACTGGCTTAACTTTTTTAGCTGGCTCCTAGACTGAAAAAAAACTTGTCAAGCCCTGCTCTAGAGCAATAGAGATGTGTTCTCTGAACTGACAAATCACGCTTCTCTGTCTGGCAATCAGATGGACGTGTCTGGGTTTGTCATTTGCCAGAAGAACGGTACTTGCCTGACTTCATTGTGCCAAGTGTAAGTTTGGTGGAGGGGGGAATATGGTGTGGGGTTGTGTTTCAGGGGTTGGGCTTGGCCCCTTAGTTCCAGTGAAGGAACTCTTAAGGCATCAGCATACCAAGACATTTTGGACAATTTCATGCTTTCAGCTTTGTGGGAACAGTTTGGGGATGGCCCCATGGTTTCAACATGACTGCACACCAGTGCACAAAGCAAGATCCATAAAGATAGGGATGAGCGAGTTTGGGGTGAAGGAACTTGACTGGCCTGCACAAATTCCTGACCTCAACCCAATAGAACACCTTTGGGGTGAATTAGAACAGAGACTGCAAGCCAGGCCTTGTCCAAGATCAGTGTCTAACCTCACAAATGCGCTTCTGGAAGAATGGTCAAACATTCCCATAGACACGCTCCTAAACCTTGTGGACAGTTTTCCCAGAAGATCTGAAGCTATTATAGCGTCAAAGGGTGGGTTAACTCAATATTGAACCTTACAAACTAAAACTGGGATGCCGTTGCAGTTCATGTGCATGTAAAGGCAGGCTTCCAATACTTATGGCAATATAGCGTAATTCTACTGCACTAGCCTAAGGTAATGTTTGCTCAAATTTTTGAATTTGGCGTTGGAAATTCGTGCTGTTAGTACTGCTTGCTCTTGCTACTGCTGCTTGCTTAACTGAGGCACACTGGGTGGAGGATAGTTAATTCTGAACTGGCCTACAGATTTTATTTGCCAGTGTCTAGTCCTCCTGTAACACTACTGTATATGGTTTCCCTCAATGTATGTGTCCCTCAATGGACTCGGAGAAAATAATTTTACGGTGAGTTCAAAAACCTGTTTTTAATATACCTAAGGACTACACTGTTGTCATATTGGGTGAAACATGTCTGTTACTCTATGCAGCATGGTAGTCTTTTCTCTTGATATTTTCAAAGAGAGCATCATCTGCAAGTGTTTTTCATCTATTAATGTATTTGTTATAGAAGAGGAAGATTATGATGATGCCAGACATATTTACACTGCATCAGAAACTGAAGAAGAGAGCACTGGACAAAAGAAGGAGGTATGAAAATGAAACTGAATGGGATGATTACAGAATCGCAGTGATTTAAGCTGATCAAGGTGCAGCCAAAATGTCTAAATGTTTACTTTATTTTATTCATGGTGAGGTAAACCTAAATCTGCAGCTAAATAAAAATCTATAATTTGCCTTAAAGTAAAACAAAGTCCATGGATTTGAAGTGTAACTAAAGTTTTTTTTTCTTAAATTTTGGATATAGTAAGGGAGGGATATAACCCCTTTTGCCATCTGTGTCCCACTGTGGAGATTTCCTTTCACGTCCTGTCCTATAGCCAAAACAGGAAGTGAAAGGAAATTTTTCCAAAGTGAAGGAATTCCAGGGTCACAAGAACAAGTGGCCTCATTGGAAGATTTCCCCTCTATTCCTGTTCTGGTGACCACCCAACATGTGAACATTTCGTTTGGGATGTTGACTTTTGTATCCCCCAACACCCGGGACATGTAGTTCTGGGCAACAGGCAGGTAGTTTTTTTTTTATCCTTTAGCCCTGCTGCGGGGAAGCAGCAGGGCTCACCTGTCAGGTGAAAGCATTCTGTCGTTCTGCACGCTGTCCTGCTGCTCCCTCTCAGCTGCTGAGCCACTTCACATCAGTCTCGGCACTTGAGGATGTTAGGCATGAGCTGAGCAGAGAATCTAGTACCGCTCCGCCAGGGAAGGCAGTGGGTAGCAACAGCAGCCGGCTGGCTGGGACTAATTGAGTACCAGGGCTACATGCAGGGTGGAATGGTGTACATGCTTCCTGAAAAAGAAGAAAAAGTACATCCACTGTGCTCACCTCCTGGACCCCTCTGTTGACCTGATGGGACCCAGGAAAATGTAATTACAGCCCAGTAAACAAGTAACTGTGGGGGGTGAAGTTTAACAAGCATTATTTTTTTTATTCACTAAAGAACTGTAATGCTGTCTGGGCTCCCCTGCAGAGTTGATGGGGCCGCGCCTGGTACAACAGGTCAGGTGGTAGTGCCTTATCAGTGGCCCTGCACCCAGGTCATGTGCCTGCCCCTTTTCGTTTCGGCTATGAATGACTGGCGGGCGGAGTAAATTACTTTGGCTGGCCGTATCTGGCCCGCGGGCTGTAGTTTGAGGACCCCTGCTCCAGGGTCTCTGCTTTCATAAAATATATAATGTTTGGGGATTTTGTGTAATCTTCAAGCCTAAAAATTTTTTTTTTAAACGTGTGCAAAAAATGCAAAAATGGCTCAGGCAGCAAAAGGGATAAAGGATAGCCCCAACACCCCCCTTTCCTGAGGAGCACCCAATCGGTGCTAATTACACTGCAAGGTCTCTCCCCTCCCTGCTAGTCCCTGGGTGCGGTGCTGGAGACAGGCAGGGAGGGGGGGGGAGGAGATATACAGCGCAATGTTAAAAAAATTAAATGTTTAAGTCTCTATAAAGCCCCAGACATTCCTAAAAGCACCTCAGATTTAAATACGGTTTTGGTTAATTTTTTTTATTTGTTTTATATCTGGACAAGTAGATTGGGACCCAGATTTAGTTCCTGGACAAGTAGTTTTTTCAAACCTTTCCACACCCCTTTTACCTTTTTTTTGCACAAACAAAAATTTTTGCTTTTAGTTACGCTTTAATGGTTTCCCAAACTTGTATATTCAATCGATGCATTAAATGATTCTCACAATTGCCTGTTTTCTCAAAATGTCAAGCAATCGATGACATAACTGATATGACTTTGTGTCATAACTGATCATATGTTTTGGCAACTGCAGCTCAGCGGCTAGGATGATAGCTCCCTTGGCTTCAAAGAATAGTTGGGTTTAGTTCTACTTTAAATTGTCATAATGAAGGGTGTAGGATAGATGAGGATATGTTTGTGGTTTTGTTTTTTTTTGCTAGAAAAATGTCTGCAAAGGTTCTAATTTATCACAGTCATTGTATAGCTAGTAGGAGTTAGTTGTGTTTTTCTGGACTTGTTCTCTAATGTTGAAGACATTTGGTACATTTTCCAGCTAGTAGCTACGGAGCTCAAGGTAAGCTAGTAAGCAGGTAAATGTGTGACTACAAAACCAAAACACAATGAACCTTGTGATAAAATGATAAACGCTGAAATGGAATGTGAGGTATTTATAAACTTGTTTACCCTACAGAAAAAAAGTCGTAGACGAAGAAATCGTAAGAAACGAATACGTAGACGGACAACTGCAGTGACTACTGTTATCGTAGATGAGCTGAATGAGGCAGCAGAAGCTGACACAGCAGGAGGAAAAGTTGAAATAGAGTACATTACAGAAGAGCCAGATATTTATGATCCTAATTTCATTTTCTTCAAGAGGATCTTCCAGGCATTTAAGGTACCCCATATGATGTTTTGCAAGTGTTTTTTGTTTTGTTAACAGAAGACCTCTCCACCTTGTGGAATATAAAATTACCAATTTGTTTATAGGAGGCTTTGCTTTTAACCACTTTCCAACCGCCCTATAGCAGATATACTGATACAGGGCAGCAGGGGTGCGCAAAATCACATATATATACGGGATTTTATGTTTCCGGGTAGGAGACGTGCGCCCTACCTGTGCCACTATTCACTGATGTCAATAACCGGGTATGATCACTGTATTAGTGTCACTGGGGGTGTCAGTGGAAGTTGATCAGTTCCCACCCAGTATCAGCCTGCCGCAGTCCTGCTATAAGTTGCTGATCGCCGCCATTACTAGTATTAAAAAAAAGTTTCCAGTATATATACTGCCATTTGTAGGCGCTATAACATTCACATAAACCAACTTATAATGTTCACAAACTAATTTACACGTATTAAGATTTTTTTTTCTAGCAAAGACATGTAGCAGAATACCTTGTGGCCTAAATTTAAGAAGAAATTTGATTTTTTTTTTTAATTGGATATGTTTTATAGCAAAAAGTAATACATTTTTTTTTTTTTTCAAAATTGTCGATTTTTTTATGTTTATAGCACAATAAATAAAAAACCGCAGAGTTGATCAAATATCACCAAAAGCAAGCTGTATTTGTGGGAAAAAAGGACATACATTTAATTTATGTACACCGTTGCAATTGTCAATTAAAGTAACACAGCATCATATCACAAAAAATGGCCTGGTTAGGAAGGGGGCTAAAGCCTTTGGAGGGCAAGTGGTTAAGAAGCAGGCGGCTGCCGTGTCCCCGTGTTGATGAGGATAAGTCTCCTTCCCTGGCCGGTGGATTTGGGGGGTCTTCGGGTGGAGGGCTTATTCGAATCTGGTAGCCCCCAGATTGCCCACTCCCCAAATGAATGAATATGGGGTACACTGTATCCCTATTCAATCACCAAAAATGTATTAAAAGTGAGTAAAAAAACACAGTTTTTGTCAAGTTTCGTTTTTTTTTTTTTTTTTCAAATGGCAGTTATTTTGCAGACAGCAGATGAATCACGGTTGTTAGGGTTGATATCTCTGAATTAGTGGAGCCCATTGATTCACTAAATACCTTTTGAGTGAAAGATCAAATTCTATAAAGCTACAATACTACTGTTTTATGTTACTCAAATTCTCATCTTGTGCCTTCAGTACCCTATGTTGAGTAACTATGGAGCACTGTGCTGTTGCATGTGACTTTGTACATGTTTAAATTGCAGCTGACAGATGATGTTAAGCGGGAAAAAGAAAAAGAGCCAGAAAAAGTGGAGAAGGTGGAGCCAGCTGCACCTAGAAAAAGGTTTGAAGAGGAACTAATGGACAGTGACAGCGACAGTGATGATGAGGTTGGGAATCGGTGTATATTTTTATATAATACTTTTTTGTTAATAACGGTCTTCTCTTTGTTTTCCTTCTTCGGCTCTAAGGCCTTGTTCACACCATGATGCAGAGAGGTCCGTTTTTCTACGCATGTTCTGCAAGGGCACAAAAACAATTGTTTTCTATGTGCCCTATTTGCACCACAACACTAGAATCACATGCAGATTTCTTTGCACAGCAATCTGCACCTTGTATAAAAATTCACTGAAACGCACATGAAAACTGATTGTAAACTTGTGTGTCTGCAAGTGAAATCTGTGTGATTTGTATGGTGTGAAGAAGGCCTTAATCTATATAGGTTGCATCGCATGTTCATATCTCACTGATCCATTTACTTTCTCATACAGTTGTTAGTGTTTTCTTCTAATATATTTTCCAGGACAAAAAGCTAGATGCCCCTAAGCTGTCTAAGAAGAAATTAAGGAGAATGAATAGGTTCACTGTGGCAGAACTGAAGCAGGTAATTAGCTCTGGTGGGCATGAAATCATAAATATAGGTGTTATGATCATATGTGTGGTTAAAAAAAAAAAAGGAAAAGAAAAGTGCATACATATCTGATTGTAAACCACCACCTAGACGACTATGAAGAGAATTTTAAAGATTCAGTGAATGAAGGTTTAGGGACTTTTTTAAAATCCATTGTTTGCTCTGGAAGGTCCACCCCTGCAGCTGGCTATTGCCATTCTAACAGTTGCCCCAGACTATGGAGATCTGGACTGGAGGACTTGGTAGTGAACTATCTCCTAATATAGGTAATCTTATTCCATTCTGCAAGACTACAGCTCTTGTCCTTGGCCTTACTATTCTGTGTAGATGCCATGGAGAATGCTCTTTGTCAAATCTACAGAATGTCTTTACTTTCTGCATATGCGCAGAAACTTGTGGCTTGTTCAGCTGACCCTGTTTGGGAAAGGTGCCTTTTGCGAATGCTTTGAAGGTGAGCTCCTCTGGGGAAAATCCTTTGTGGAATGCATTGAGGAAGGAAGGGGGCTCCTATCTCATTATCTGCAATCTCACTTCCTTATTTTACAGGGCTCTTCCGCTTTTTGTGTACAACTTGTTCGTCCCTTCCAGGCATGACAATCTACCACAAATCCATCCTTTTGTAGCAGACCCTCCATCACTAAGCCCACCGTATCTGCTCAGCAGTTTTCTTTGCAGTGTTCACTTCCACCCCTGGAGATGGAAGGGATGTATGCTGACATATGCTTTAGCTTGTCACAGAGAAATCACACTTTGGCTTCTCCCCATACCTTATACTGCCTGGGACATCTAGGTCTAATCTTGACATAATTTTTATTCAAATTTCCTTTAGCTTGACAGTCTTGTCTGTGGCCGATCCCATCTTCAGTAACATGATCCCATTGGCACAATTGCCCTCCAGAAGAATGTCTCTCAAGTTGGTTCGAATCTCAACCACGGCACCACCTGCCTGGAGTTTGCATGTTCTCCCTGTGCCTGCGTGGGTTTCCTCACGGTACTCCGGTTTCCTCCCACACTCCAAAGACATGCTGATAGGCTAATTGGATCCTGTCTAAATTGGCCCTAGTATGTGTATGTATGAATGTGAGTTTAGGGACCTTAGATTGTACACCCCTTGAGGGTTAGAGACTGATGTGAATGTACAGTCTACATGTAAAAGCGCTGCATAAATTGACAGCGCTATATAAGTACCTGAAATAAATAAGTTATGCTTACGGACTTGTTTGAAATGGCCAGTACCTGGCTTTCTCCATTCAAGGTCACTGGAAGTCTCTTCCTTACTAGCTCCATTATCTATATACTATTTTCCTTGTATCTTAGACTCTGCCCTGAGCTTTGATATACCCCTCTTATCAGAATTGAAGATTATCAAGTTGCTGAGAAACCATTCTGTTCTCGTCTCCCTTTACAAGCCATGGCCTTTTTCTAACCATCAACTTAATTTGCCAGCTAAGTGCCGGTAAAGGTCTCCTTGCCTGTGTTCTCATTTTTTGTGTTTCCTACCCCCTCCACAAGTGGTATGTAGGTGCCCTTCACTGCTTCTCTTACCAAATATCTTAAGTTGTGACTGTGCTACAGGCATTTGCCCCGAGATCCCCCAGAATCTCTAATTTACTGACATTTAACAGTTAAGCACATTCCAACTTCCAGGTCGAGTGACATTCTTTCCTGGGGGCATACAAATCTCTCCCCAAATACTCTGCAATCTATCATGTGAGGTAGCTTGCAACTAGTGTGATGATAGGGAACCTCACCCCAGAACGTGTTCCCAATCCTCGCCCTGCAACTTTTTTTTTTTTTTTTTTTTTTTTAAACCTTTCTTTCAAGAAATTGCTTTGCCCCTTTGTTTTCCTCTGGGACCCTCCTCAGTTGCTTTTGCCCATGCAGAGCCCTCCCCTTCTGTTCAAGAGGGTTACTTCCTTGTAAGGTTTTCTTTAAGAATGGAGCCACCTTCTCTGCATTGCCCTGGCAGCCGTAATTCTACCTTGGCTCCCCCTGCTTGTTCTTGGTAGCCCCCTCTCTTAAGATTCATGGGGACAAAGTATTATGGAAGTTAGTCCTTCTTACTTCCCTGAGGTGCTTCTCATCGCCTTCAGTGGAAATGTCATTCCCCCTCACAATGTCTTTCCTTGAAGGCATGTCAAACAATTTACGATTTTACCTTATGGTCAGGACTGTCGCCTATGGCTACTTGCCATGTCTTACCTTGGGAACTAACCCCTTTTCTTTTTCCCCATAGAACGGTCCATTTTTAATTAGAGCAAAACAATCTGACTTACTATTGACATGCATTGAAGGAACAAACATAACCCATTAATTTTAATAGCAAGTGTGCTTATAAAGAGGTCAGATCAGTATTGAATATCAGCATAAAAACAGCGTTTATAGGACATTCAACACTCAAGGACATTATTAAGCTTATCAGGCAAATAGGAGAAAAATAACATCAGGTTGGTAGGAAAACCACATGTAGAGGGGTAGCAATTTCAATGTAAAAGGAGTGGGGAGACAGACGAGGCCCTGGGATCATTGAAAATAGATGTAGCAGTCACACATGTAATTGGTTGTTGCAACCAGCGGTCTCCAATGTTAAAATGTTATTGTATTTAGACAGGTGCTCCCTGTGAATATAAATATATATATATATATATTAATATATTATATATATTTATTATTTTTTTTTTTACTATGGGCATGTCCTAACATTTAGGGGTTCTGGATTCAAATTGTGAGGGCCTCTCCCCTTTGAGCCCCGAGCGATGTATAGTTGGGCCATTTCTAGACCCTGAAGCACACAAATTTATGACCATATTTCTGCATGAAATATATATATATATATATATATATATATAGATGTGTGTATGTATATATATATATATATATATATATATATATATATATATATAGATGTGTGTGTATATATATATATATATATATGTGTGTGTGTGTGTATATATATATATATATATATATATATATAGATGTGTGTGTGTGTGTATGTTATATATATATATATATATATAGATGTGTGTGTGTGTGTATATATATATATATATATTATATTATATATCTATATATATAGATGTGTGTGTGTGTATATATATATATATATTATATATATATATATATTATTATAATATATATATATATATATATAGAGTTGTGTGTGTTGGTGTTGTGTGTGTTATTGTTATATATATATATATGGGTTATATATATATAGATGTTGTTGTGTGTGTATATATATATATATATATATATATATATATTAATAAATTTATATATATATATAGTTGATTTGTGTATATATATATAAGATATATTATATATTATTGTTTGAATTGTTTATTTATATTTAGATTATATTTTTTTTATAGATGTGTGTTTATATTATATATATATTAGATAAAATTATATATATGTGTTTTTTTATATATATATATACTATATATTATATAATATTATATGTGTTGTGTTGTATATTTATATATATATTATATATTAGATGTGGTGTTGTATATATATATATAGATATAATATATATATAGATGTGTGTATATATTATATATATATAGATGTTTGTAAAATCTGGCATGGCAACTCCCCTGAGATTGGTTTGGTTTTTTTAAGGTGCGCCAGTTAAGTTTGTGTTTGCCGTTGCACAGACAAGTGACTTAAGGATGGAATCCATGAGTTTGAAATATTTTAAGGGTAAATATACAAGAGAATGCTATAAAAAATATATAGGATCTTGGGCTGGAGAGAACCATTTTTATTAGATTGATTCTTCCCATGACATGTAACAGAAGTCTAGTCCATATCTGAGTTTTTCCCTTAATCAGGGCATACAATGGCTCGGTATTCAGAAGTATGTCCTCTGAGGGAGGTCTAGTGACGCGTATAGCCAGATATGTCAGGGTACTAACTCTGTCAAGCAGGGAAGAAGCTTGGTCATCCTCAAAAGGAAGGTGTCAATTGTGAGAGTAGTACTTTGGACTTGTCCCCAGTTAATTTTATGACCTGAATATCTATTAAATTTTTGATGGTTCTCTATGTAGAGTAGCATGTCTTTGGCATAAAGTCCAATCTTCTCAACAAGCAAAACCTACTTGCAGACCCATACAGAGGGGTTGGAGCTGGGTGGTTATTTTGCCTTCTTTTTTTTTTCTTTTTTCTCTAGAGTTTTCTGCCCTCAGGAAACGAGTTCCTCCTTCACTACCTGGGCCCCATTTTCACAAAGATATAGGGGTTAATCGGCTTCTTATAGCATTTAGTATGTTTGTGTCTTTCTCTCACAAGTTGCAGGGCCACCACCCATATCTCTACTCACTTTTCCAAAACCATTTTTTTTTTTTTTTTTGACACGTCACTGTTTGAGCCTCTGCTGATCAGTGCTTCTGCAATCAATGCTTCTGCTCTCAGCTGTCTGTCTCTTCCAAGCTGTTGACCTGTCTTGTTTTTTCCTGTGGGCCTGTTGCTATTTTGTTGCCATCCCCTAGAATTATTATTGATTGGGTACATCCCATCATCTAGGAAACCATCCCTGTGTCCTGTACTGTATGATTAAGATAATAGGAGATTAGACGTACCGCCTCCTGTCTCATTCTTGCCTAGGCGACAATGAACGGTCACTCTTCTTCACTGCCTCTTGGGTTCCTGACCTCATATCCTAGCAGGCATTACTTTCCAAGAAGAAGGGAAGTGGCTGGCACTGTGTATTTACATATTATTCAATGACACAGGAAAGCAGTGCCTCCTGGGATTTGTGAGATTGGTATCCCAGGAGGCATTACTATGCTGCATTCATAGAACAATGTGTAAACAAGCATGGAGTCGGATTTCTGCCTTTCACATGTGTTAGATCTGGCACTGTGTCATGCAGGGGCCAGCTGCAAGAAAGGGGAAGAGACAGCCGGCTCCCTGTGATTAAAAAAAAAAAATGGTGACTCAGGACAAGATCTGAAGTAAGCGAGCGGTGAGTGTTTTATCCCTGCATGACCAGACACCAAAGGTAGGTGGGAAAAGACTGCATTGAATTGGGAATGTGAAGTTCCTCTTTAAAATGAGACCTGGGCAGGTGATTACTATCATGCATACCTATTGATATGAGTGAGTGAATAAATCTGAGCATTGTGTGTGTTTTTTCCCTCTAGTAAAAAACAAATGCTTCTCACTTTGTTCACTTTCTTCTTTTTGCTCATCTTGCTTTGTCTTCTCAGCTGGTATCTCGTCCAGATGTGGTGGAGATGCATGATGTTACTGCACAGGATCCCAAACTCCTTGTGCATCTGAAGGGTACAAGAAATTCTGTTCCTGTTCCTCGTCACTGGTGTTTCAAACGCAAATATCTCCAGGGCAAGAGAGGAATTGAGAAACCACCATTTCAACTTCCTGACTTTATCAAGAGAACGGGTATCCAAGAAATGAGGGAGGCACTGCAAGAAAAGGTAAAGGACTGTGTGAAAAGAGTTTGAGTCAACTGGAGTCTGAAGTATTTTTTTGCTTTTTTTTTTTTGCCTCACTCGCTTTGTAAATTTTTATCTAACACTGTAACTTGGAACACATGCCCAGCGAGAACTGCTAAAGAGTTGTGGTTTGTTTCCAAATAATTGGTTGTTTAGAGGTTTTTGACCATAGGAGTGTCTTCGCTTCTCTCTCCAAGGTAGTCAAAAATGTTTGTTCTGCTATAGATTTTTATATATATATAATGTAGGTTATCTAACTAAAATACTTTTGTTTTTCAGGAAGAGCAAAAGACTATGAAGTCTAAAATGAGAGAGAAGGTCAGGCCTAAGATGGGAAAAATTGACATAGATTATCAGAAACTGCATGATGCATTCTTCAAATGGCAGAGCAAACCAAAACTCACTATACATGGAGACCTTTATTATGAGGTGATGAGCAAGCAGCTACTTGATGTGTACATATGCCTTTTATAACACAAACATGTTTTAAAAATTGCTGATGGAATAGACTGCTAAATATAAAGTTCATTTGTCCATGGGACACCTGCACCCAAGACAATTCCAGACCTTTTGGGTCTAGAATGTAGTCACTACACTATTTTTATTTTTTTTTTTTGCATAATTTTTTCCCTGCCCCACTTTGTTGTCAAACCTGCCAACATCCCCACAGAGGCTAGCAGATCTCCAAGCTGCACTGGTATAGCTTCTCTCTCAAGAAATGGTGGCTCTTGTCCCAGAAGAGGAAATGTTTTAAGTGGTTTTACTCAAACCTGTTTGCAGTCTTAAAGCCTAGCAGCAGCTTTGCTGCCCAACTTGAATCTGAAGGTTTTTCAACACCTTTCGAGTTCAGAAATTCTGTATGGAGTCTACCAGGTCAGTCATTGCCTCCCTACAGCCAGGGGTTTTCTTGGCTTCATTAGACATCAAGGATGTCCCCACCTTTTCAGCACATCCATGGTTCCTGTGTTTTGCAGTTGATTCACAACATTACCAATTTGTTGCCCTGCTCTTTGGGTCTGTTAACAGTACCAAGGGTTTTCACCAATGTGCTTGCCCCTACACCTGTGTGTAATCAGAAGTCTTGCTGCATAGATCTGATTCTGGCTTATGAGGAACTTTGCATTCCAGCCTTATCCACCATCCATATTCCAGAAGTGGAAAATTGAAAGGTTGACGTCAGTCGTCATTGTCTGGACTCTGGGGAATATCCTCTTCAACCAGAGGGCTTTCAAGGCCTCTGTTGTAAAGAACACTGGACATGGACCTCCTGGTTTCCCGGTTCTTCAAAAAATGGTTCATGTCAAAATGCAGAGGTCCTCTTCCAGTGGATACCCTGATGACTTTGTGAGATCATGTCAGCCTGATCTACGCATTTTCCTGAAACTCCTTCTTAGCCTTCTCTGCAGAATAGAGAGAGAACTTTCTGGTAATTCTTATTTCACCAAATTGGCCCAGGAAGATATGGTACTCAAACTTTGTCAGACATCTGGGAAGCACTCTCTGGATCTTCGTCCCAGGGGCCGGTTTACCATCCTCCACAGTCGCTGGCTTTTAACAGCCTGGCTCTTGAAGCCCAGGCCCTAAGGACAAAGGCTGTCCACTTTAGTTATTTAAACATACTTTAGTTTTTTTTTCCATAAAGAGTTTATTGAAAAGCAAAACAATACAGACATGACGAGGTACAATCAGGTAATATTGTAAACATACCCTGAGCACAGGGTTAAGAAAAACTGTCTTTAACAGAAGAATAAACAGGAACACAGACCCGACACCAATTAAGGGTCAACAGTAATGAGTGGAAGTAAGACTCCAGAACTGGGGATCTTTAGTGTTGTCCCATCAGAGCCCAGCTGGGGCTGTGCCAGTACCGGAGCATGTCTCAGGGCCTCTTGAAGGGATGAGGACGGAACACATAAGAAATAGTAAGAATAGGCTAAGATCCACTTTAGTTACTTATTGCTACACTTTTGAAAGCCATGAAATAAACTTTTTATAAGGTTTACCATCACACTTGGAAGACTTATATCTCGTGATGTGAGACTAGGCATTACCACCCGGGGGGGAAGAGATTGTGGGATGAATCTGGTCATTTTTGCCAATTAATTGTACCATCAAAGGACTGATTTTAATCTTGGCAACTCTGTTCCAAAGACAGCGCACTTCTCTTCCCTTAGTAATAACTTTTTTTCAGGGTGTTGCTCACATTATTCCCTCTATCAATTCCACTGTCTTTGTGGGAGCTTAACCTGCCAAATACCTAGAAACCACTCTTTGAGCCCTGTTGACTCTCATAAGGTTGCCTTTCCCATTGTCATCACCTTGGCATGCTGTGCCTCTTAAAGAATAAGTTAACTTTTCATAATAAATAGAAGTATTTTCCAATGCCATTTCTGGCCCAGCCATCCCAATGTGCTTTACTCTCACTTACCTCATCCAAAGGACGTTTAATTTTTTATCAGTTTATATTAGATTTTGAACTGATTTTCAGATTCCATCATTTCCTATAGATGATATCTCAGCATTCACTTCCTGTAGACATCTTCCAGAAGCCTTCACTGTTGCATCACAGAAAAAGGTATGATAGGGTTTGTTCACCACTCTAGACCACATCCGCATCGCAATACTACCTTCCTCCCCATCAGCTATGTAGTACAAGGGCCTGTCTGATTTGATACCAATTGAATGGATTGCTCAGGTGTGTCCCCCTTCTTCCATAGTTCTGGTAAATCTAAAGGAAATTGTACAGAGATTGTACAGTCAGATTGCATAGTTTATGGCCATATTTATACAAGTATATAGAGTGTGTGGAAGAAGACACTCGGTTGCCAGAATCTGTCCACATGTAAAGACTCGCATTCCCGCATGCATTTGTTTTGGAGCGTTTTCACTCGTCACGCATAGGGCAGTCCATTCACTTGAATGGGCTACCATACACGCAACAGTCGCCCCAGAAAAGCTCCAGATTTTATTGGAGTGGAGTACTATGCGGTACCGCAGTTTTTGATGTTTGCCACACTTGGGGTGCCTTTTAACATGCAATGGCAACACAGACACGATACATATTTACAGCATGTTTCTGAAACGCATGGCAAAGCGTGCATTGTCTGTGCTGTTTGCCTCACTGCTCTGTGTAAATGCACCAATTTCACTTTCAGACCCCATTCATATCAAGAGTAGAGGGAGCACATGTTTTTTGGCTCGTTGATTTCAAGGGGCTGCGGTACACGTGGTATAGTAGCTCATGTGATATACACTATACAATCGCTGTACATCTCCTTTAGATTTACCAAAACGATATAATAGGAGGAAACACCATCTATCCAATCAAGCAGGCCCTTGCACTTTATCAGGGGTGTCGCAAGGGCTGAATTCAGACCCAGCGAGTTTAGCATGTGGCCTGAGCCCATTTGTAGAGGCGCTGGGGTAGCCAGGTAAATGCACGTGGGTAGAGAATCCTGGGGATGCTGTGCAGAACAAGTTGATGGGTGAATGGTGTGTACTAATGAGGTCAGTGCAGGATTTGTGTGCTAATGAGATCAGCTGGTACTCTGCTTCCTGGTCATACAGGCTTCTCTGTCCTCTCTGTACATTCCAGGAGTGTTCTAAGAAGTCTCCCAAGGGCTAAAGTAAGGTCTTGTTCTCCAGATCAGAGAGCTTGTATATTTTTGCAACAGGCACATAGGGGAGCTGGATTTTAGGGGGAAAAAATAAGTGAACTTAGTCTTTAAGTTCACAGCCTTAAAGTAGAATTTCAGCCTAAACCTAACTAGTCTTAAAAATGTCCCCTCCCTCTCCTAATGCTTATGCTTATATGGATTAACCTGTGTAAAAAGGTTGCATATTAAGTTCATACCCGTCCGGTGAGATCATTTGGCTCCCTTGTGTCAGCCCATAGCAGGGAGAGAAGGGATCACCAGTGGCTGGGAGTCTATGGGTGACGTCACCATTCCAGGCTTTACCAGCCATTGTTGACCACTCTCTTCTCCTCTCCTCTGCATCTGCTCCTGGCTAACACAGGGGATCATGTGAATGGACTAGATTGGGCTGAAATAGGTAAGTATATACATCTTCTTTTTGATCAGAATAGGTGTTGGGAGGGGATATTTTTCAGACTAGTTAGGTTTAGGCTGGAACTTTAATTTGCAAGGGACCCTTCCCTGTACTGCATAGGGACAAGATTGTGTTGAGGCCAAAAGCCTGGTTTCTCCCTTCTTTAACCAGGACATTGACCTTCCTTTTCTGTCCTGCTCCTTGCCATCCCAAGTAGGTCTCCGTCCACTGTCTGGATGTGGTGTTTGCTGTTCAAGTCTTCTATTCGACTACAGCTTCTTTTAGACAAACCGATCTTTTCATTCCTGTGGGTCCTGGCAGGGGACAATCAGTATCTAATTCCACCATCTCTAGACTTAAGGGCAAGGTTCTGCCTTTCCCTATCAAAGAACACTCTATTAGATGTGTTGGTACTTCTTGGCCTTTCTGGCATCCAGTAGATATTTCTCAGATATGTGAAGCAGCTATCTGGTCCTCTCTTTACATATTTAAAATTTTTACCAGGTGGATGTTCAGGACTCATCTGAGGTCTACTTCGGTTGCTCCATAGAATCCCATTTACATTCACTGTTGACATATCATTTGCTTTGTTGCCCACCCCTCATTTTTTTTTTTGTTTGGTAATGTTCCTTAAATTCCTGAATACCATCCCGTGTCTTGTAATCTATAATAAAGAATATAGGATTTTTATCTTAACCTGTACATTACAGTACACAGATCCTACCTCTCTGTTTCTAATCATATTTAATATTGCTTGCATACAAAACTAAGGCTTGCTGTGAGTGGAAAGGGTATGCAGGGTTGTCCTAACAGCTTTGCTTTGTTAATGTCCAGTCTCCTGAAGGGTGCAGCATAACCCTATAATTTATTACTACCATCCTGTGTCCTGTAATGCATGCAAAGAAAAGGATTTTACAGGTAATAGTACTAAAGGGTTAGAATTTATTACCTAATAGTTCTTATGTTTAACCTTTCAGATATGGTGATGTAATGCAATAATTTGAGACAACTCGAAAGTATAATAATAAAAGGACTTTACTTAGCTTGTTTAAAGAGGTATTATAGATGAAATAAATGGATAAATACTCAATTCAGGGGGACTTCCTCAACTTCATTTGAAATTCCTGGAGGCAATAGTCCTTGATTCGTATTTCTCTTCTGCGTCCAACTCCCTTTTTTTTTTTTTTAGCCATATATATACACCAGCCCAAAAAACTAGTCAAAACTGGTTTGAGCTACACCACAAAATAGAAAGGTCAGAGGTCCCCAACTTCCCACAGAATGAGACCATAGGTCTCTGTATACATGGGACCATATGTTTCAGTATACGATAGATAGATAAAAGTGATTAATTATACACTAACATAATTGATTGCATTAAACTATTACTAAGTTTCTTGTAAATCAGTAACTGTTAAAAACCTCTACAGTAATGCAAAAATCATATTTTACCAATCAGCATTAACAAATTAAAGGTGCAAAATATCAGTCTTTTGTATTTTTAAATAAATGAATTATTGGTAATATTTTGATAATTTGACTTTTGCCAATAGGGAAAAGAATTTGAGACTCGTCTGAAAGAAAAAAAGCCAGGAGACCTTTCTGATGAATTGAGGATCACTCTGGGAATGCCAGTGGGACCAGTGAGTTGATTTATAAAACATTTTAAGTTTTTTGTAAAATGCTGTCCATCTTCAAAGTGCAGTTGTATTCAAAATATGGGTGGTGGCATGGGACCATGTTACATGTTACACCCATATATATGGTATAATATTGTCTAAAAGCTAGATTGAGCCTTTAACATTGTACTTATTGCCATGGGCTAACTTTTGTTTCCAAATGAGATCCCATAATGTTTTCTAATGGTGATTGGATTTAGAAATTGTCTGCAATGTTCAGGTGGCTTTTTGAGAAACTATTTACTTCCCTGCTGCCAGTGAAGGAAGTGGATCTGTTATTGGAATGTCTCAACTTCTGAATATGTTAATTTGTTGTATAATTTCTTGTCCTGCAGAATGCTCATAAGGTTCCTCCTCCATGGCTTATTGCAATGCAGAGATATGGACCACCCCCATCATATCCCAATCTTAAAATTCCAGGTTTGAATTCTCCTATTCCTGAGGTAAGACATATATGTGTGATCCTTTAGGGTACACCTGTATTTATTTGTTTGTTTTTTAGGGGTTTTTTTTTCCTCGCACTGTTATTGCTCTCATGTGCAATGCACTATACTTATTTCAACTTTCTCCTTTTTTTAAAATGTTTACTAATATCCCAAGGGCTGTTCATTTGGATATCATGCTGGTGGTTGGGGCAAGCCACCTGTTGATGAAATGGGAAAACCACTTTATGGCGATGTGTTCGGAACCAATGCCTCAGATTTCCAGGTAAGCAGCTGCCACAACACGTGCTTTAAAGTGGTTGTAAACCTTTAAAATGAAATATGAACAAAGCATATCCTGACAGTTTTATCTGACACCAGGCATTTCATGGTGATTTGTGGCCTCAGATGTGCAAATGTGCATTACACTCAGATCAGATCCTCCCACCTCCTGGTAGCTGAGAAATACTGGGCTGTGGAGGAAAGAGGGCTACAGCTTAATCGTTTATCGCCCTCGGCTTGTAATTTCAGTAGGCTTATGTAAAGGTCTATTAGCACTTAATACAATATTCTACTTAATGTGTCATTCCCTTTTATTAAAGCCAAACCAGTGTTTGGGGGGGGGAGTAGAAACCTCGACTTTTATCCTGTCTGTTCCATTTTGGAAGATTATCTAACTGATGTGGTGACCACTGTCGCCAAGGCTAAAAATGATGATAAAGGCAGCATATTTAGGGTGAAGACTTTCCTTCACTTCGGAGAGATTTCCTGTTTTACTGGCATGATGTTTTCTCACAAAGACCTCATCTATATAGAAATTGTGTGCCTCTAAATGATTTTGTTGATTTTGACATTCAGAGTAAAAATGAAGAGGAGGATGTAGACAGAACCCCATGGGGAGAGCTGGAACTGTCCGATGATGAATCCTCTTCTGAGGAAGAAGACGAAGAGAGTGATGAAGATAAAGCAGATGAGACTGGATTCATTACACCTGCAGATAGGTGAGTGATTTGAATCTTGCATAGCTGTCACATTTGTTTTTATTTTACCTTGACCTCTTCAGTCCCAGTATTTTTTTTCAAAAGATGCATTGATTATTAAGCTTTTGTATTCTTTAATGTATAATGACTTTTTTTTGAGAGAGAGAGAGAGAGAGAGAGAGAGAGAGATCTTCAGTTAGGGCAAATGCATGTGTGACCCAATATCCCTATGCATGAACAATCAACTCCACTTCTAGGCTGGACTACAACTGTCACCGACAAACTGAACTTTCAGCAATAACCGTAGCCTGCTCAAATGCATACCATTTAAAAAAACAGTACTAAATTAAAATGTAGATGTCTAACAGCATCTCAAACTCAAGTGGTCAAGCTTTTTTTAAGAATAAGTTTACCTTTTGGACAAAAATAATAAATGCACTTTTTTTGCAGGTAAAAAAACCTGGAAAGCATTGCACCAGTGTTAATTAGATTGCTGATGCCATGCTGTTCTCAAATATTCTGACAGGAAGCTTCAATGAACTACCACGGTGCTCCACAGTGTTGTGGTAGTTCATTGAAAACTACAAGCTCACAGCTGCTAAGGCTTTTGGGACTTGCAGTTCATTAATTCACGGAAGTAAATGAATGAAGCGGCCGTGTGGGTTGAGCCCTGCATGGCCGTGCTGTTTTCAAATCTGACATACAGTACGGGAAACTTGTCCTTGTACTATCTGTCGGAGGGGGGTGGTGAGCGTGGCTGCAGCTATGAGAACATGTTACATGTTCCACCCTAAAAACGGGTGGAACATGTAACATGCTCCAATGGTGAACTTATCCTTTACCTGTAATATAACTGCTGTAGTTTTCCTTCTTTGCAGAAGCATTTTATTCTTATTAATTATTAACTGATTTTTTTGTCTTGTGCAGTGGTCTTATTACTCCTGGAGGATTTTCTTCTGTTCCTGCTGGTATGTATGGAGACACCGGAACTTATTGAGCTGAGAAAAAAAAAAGAATGAGGAGGCCATTGATGGGTAAGAAGCTCCACTTAATTTTTATAGTTTTAGCGCTCAAAGAATTTTAGAATATTTTTATATACTTTTCCCAACACCACTAAATTTTCTCCTTTCAGTGTTAAATCTGTCAGTAAAATCAAAGAATGTCAAGACTTGCTTGACTTATCCGCTAATGCGATTTCAAGTAAACTGCTTGCATATAGTAATACATTTGGAAATCACAGCTAGAGAAGCATATATCTCAAGTTAAATTAGACTATAGTAACTAGTCAGTCTTGTATAATATTCATGCTAATGAATTGGACCCAGTTAAAGTGGTTCTAATGGCTGAAGTGTTTTTTACCTTAATGTATTCTGTGCATGACGGCAGAAAACCTTCAGTGTGAAGCTCCTCCCTCAGCCCCCCTAACACGCAAGCCTGATCACAGTCCAGAGCTGTGCACGAGAGCAGTGGCTCTCATGGGTCTTTTCCTCCTCATTGTCTGAGACACAGAAGCGGGCTCCCACTGTTTTCACTCAAAGCCAGTGGGGAGGGAGCGGGGATAGAGAGGGTCTTATAGACACACAGCAATGGCTCGAAGCCAGCACGCATGAGTGCTAACAGAGCAAGCAACTTGCTCTGGGGGAATTCAACAGGGGGGAGGAGCTAGGAGTGCCGGGAAGGGGGGAGAAAAGGAGGATCGGAGCTACTCTGTGCAAGACCATTGAAAAAATAAATATGGTAAATAAAAAGGTAAATATGACGTGTTTGTTATATAAAAAAAAATATGAACCGTTAGTATCATTTTAATTACCAGTATAAAACCAAAACAGTTGTACTGGTCATTAGAAAGTTCAGGTGATTCCCTGTTGAGGAAAATAAATTATCAAGTAGCTTCAGACATAAAACACAGTGCTGGTTTTAGGACATTAGATTTTGTCCTTTAAAGTAGCCACTTTGTAATGTCAAAATTTTGGTGCAACCTTGAATTATATGAAATATTCCATGGAGGGGGGGAATACTATCTACCTTCCACAGCCCTTCACACCACAGCAGCGTTTTTGGAAGGAGTCATTTTTGTAATCGTACAAGACATAAGGTTTCTTTAAATCATTATGACCGGGTTTTATGCAGTTACCTTCAGGTTGTTGGATATTAGCACAAAAGAAAGAAATATAACCTCTCCCACTCCCTGCTTGCCTTTATATTTTTTTTTCTTTCTAGTGTCCTTAGAAGATGGAGCTCCTTCTCATTGAGAGAAGCTTACCTTTTTTCTAGGGAAGTTTTTCAATCTCTGGATGATTCTTTTTCAAAATGACTTTCATCTCTTGGCTGCATCATAGCCACAGCAGCTGGATTGGGGAACCATGCCTGGGGTCGGCCTGTAACACTGCTTTGCACTGGATCCTTCTGTGGGTGTTCTTCCTGACATGTAGTGCAATGTGTGGAGTTAGCCACAGGGTGCTTTACATGTCCAGAGCTGCGGTCTACCTGAAGCAGAGCCCAGTCTCTGAGGACTCCTGCTTGGGTATGCCAGGAAGGGGTTAATTCCCCCTTTTGATTGATGCATGTCTACATGAACAGACAATACTACAGCCACCTGCAGTGATGGTCACTCAGCCTTCTGCCACTGTTTAATAGTACCGAAAGAAACAAACAACATCAGTGATGTCATCGGTGCTAGGAGGAAAATGAGTATTATCACATCAGAAGTGCTCTATTACCTTTGTATCATGTGAGTGCAATCATTTTTATGTTTTTTAATCATTAAACGGAGTTACACTAGGGCGATTGTGCGCTCTCTGTTCTTTTTGTTTTATTGTCCAGATCCATCTCTGCCACCCTGTGGAGTCTTTGGAGAGCTGCAATATCCTTCCCTTCACTCCTCATAACACCAGCCTGAGGGTTTTTTTTTTTTTTTTTTTTTTTTTTTAGAAGATCAGCACAATAGTGACTTGCTTGTGTTTAATAGTACCAATGTCAGTCCTTTTGCTTGGTTGGATCAGTAAGTCTCCTGGGAATCTAGAGTTTATGGGTCGTGTAACCTGATGAGATATTGTCTTTGGTCAGGAGCATGTCTACTGCACAGTACCAGTGTTCTGAATGCATCCACAAGTGGACCCCTGACTCAAACTCCTGGGACACCAAACCACACTCTGCCTCCTTTTTAGCCTAAACTGGTCCCAAGAGCTGATACTCACCATACAAAGAACTCCGCACTGGGTTAGCTGCTCTGAATTCTTGCGGGATGCTGATCCCAGGGGCCAACACAGCCAATTCTAAGATTTGCATTAGTCTGTGGACTGTGCCTACCTTTTTTGGGCCCAGTGTATATTTATGTAGATCTTGGATACGAAGTCCCTTCCTTGGCTTGAAGACAAGACTCCACGGGCTGATTTTCAGTCCTCAGTTTCACCAGAGAGAGTCCGTTTCTTTTCTGATCAAGGAGGCTGATTATACCTGGTAGTGGCAAGACATTGCATCTCTCTCCCCTTGCGCAGTGTCAGGTCTCCACTCTCATAAACCAAAATGCTTTACTTTTCAACCCTTGGCATGACGTGCTATAAACTATTGTAAATTTTCATGGTGTCAATTCCCCGAAAGCTTCATAGGTTATCTCTTGCATGGGTCTCATGTCTGTACATCTGCTTAGTGCTCCTTGGATGAAGTATTGGCTACGGAATCCATTGGTAAGACGAGTATGACCCATGCCTTTCGAGAGACAGTGTCTCCCTAGATCTACCTTTTTGATTCCATGTCAAAGACACTGTAGAAGCTTAAGGATCAGACTGCAAGTTTTCTTATTTAAATGTTCTGAAACATGCTTTTTGTTTTTCGACTCATGTACCCTCTACACTGATCCTCCCTTAACCGTCACAGACATATGCACGGCTTGCGTCTTAGGTGCAGGATGTGGTATCCCAAGGCTGTAAACTGGAATTTTGCTCCCTGAAACCACTTTTTTTTTTATCTCCAACCTTCCTGTATTAAGTTATATGGTTATAAAGGCAGGACATTTTTTAACTTAGTGCATTCCCTGCTTTTATGTTCATTGTTTAATTGATTTGTTCGGCAAAGGTGTGGCAATGTGAAATGCTGTGTGCATGGTGCTAACGAAGAGAAAATCTTGAAATGAAATGGGGGGGGGGAGATTAAAAACGTGTGTTTTTTAAGTGATATTTCACTTTTTTGGCTTAAAGGCTGTTGATTTGTGATTAAATATCAAATGCATTTTTATATATTTGTTTCCTTGGTTCCTTACATGTATCCAAGATTATTTTTCCATATACTGATTGTTGCCTTTTTTTTTTTTTTTTTTTTTTTATAAACCAACAGTGCAGAGACTCCATTGCTTTTCACAGTGCTTCCAGAGAAGAGAACCGCAACTGTTGGTGGTGCAATAATGGGATCCACTCATATCTATGATATTTCTTCGGTGAGTTTGAATATGAGATAGAAATGGAGTTGAGAAAATGGGCTGTCCAGGTGTACAGTGCTGGTGATATCAGCTTTGTTTACTAGTGAATTCCTTGATGCAGAAGTATCCAAATGTGTAGAATACAATTCTAAAGTATGTGTGCTTTTGAATCTGTTTGCACTTTCCTTAAAGGATGAGTATGATAAACATAGTCAGTACACATTAAAAGAGGTTCTACCTGAACGCCATGTAGGTAAACATATACAATTTAATCCAGTTATGTGTTCATTTAAGAAAACTATTAAGCTGGCTATAGATTGTTTGTTTGAAAATGGGCCAGTTCAGTAATGGCTGGCCGGGATTTGACCCACCTTTTGGCAGACTGATTGTACCCAATTCGATTTTTGTATGACCTGGGTACAACTAGCATTTCGGATTTTTACATGCAGTTATTGCCAGCGACTATAGCCGCTAGCAATAATCACTGTGTTCTCCAAGCAGAGATGGTACCCTAACACAATAGCTCTATGGGAGGGATTTCCCCATTGACATTGACTGTGTTGATGGGGGAATCAAGCGATTATTTCAAATTGCATCGTCTATGGCCTGCTTACACTTTGATCGTTTATTAATGTGGTTATAAAACCTAAAATAAACCCAGTGAAGTGACTAACTTCAGGTGATACAAAGAGATTAAACAAATCCTACTTCATAAGAAGTGGTACCTGCCTGTCTGCAGCCATTCGTCCTCTACATCCATTGAAAGTGCAGAATTTACACAGGATTGTTCAGCTCTGAAAAGCAGGGGGTGGGGTGCTAAAGTTACACTCAGTGAGGATACCCCTGAGAGCTGATTGGAGGAAAAGGACACATCCTCCTTTACACAGCACACAGGAATAGAGCTGAGACTGTCAATTGCAGTCTGTGCCTCCCATCACAATTTTTCTCTTGGTGTAGGGAAAACTTGGCAGACAGCAGAGGAATGAGGTAGCAGAGGGAAATAACACTTGCTGCTCTGGATTGAGACAAGTACATATTATAGATGGATATGATTTACAACCACTTGGACACAGATCGATCAGTGGAATTCCATTCTAACTCTCCCTCATCTCAACCTATTCTGCCAAAAAAATAAAAATAAAAGTGTATACCTACATATATTTAGTCTGATCCAGCAGCTATGGCTCCCCTGTGTCGGTGAGCGGTGGCTGCAGGGGAGAAGAGGGAGCATCAACTATGTCTGGGACATGGGAACCGATGAGGTATGTCACGGCTCCTGAAATTCCCAGCTGTTAAGTTCTCCCTCCTCCCCCTGCAGACACTGCTCACTGACACATGGAATCAGGCGACTGTAGTGGACTAAAAAGAAAAGTATACATCTCTTATTTACATAGGCTAGGCAGGATAGATCGGAGAGGGGAGGGAGCATTTTTGAGCATAGTTAGTGTTGGGCTGGAGTTCAACTTTAATTCTGAAACAAATGAGTTATACAGCTGCTTTTAGGTGATTGGTCACTAGTAAACAAAGCTGTTAGCCAGATATAACCCCTCCCACTTCCATCATGCTCCAGTTAAATGCTAGTGTCTTACGAAGATAGATGTCCTATCTCTTCTGGGAGAAATCAACTTTTCAAGATCTGTTCCTTCAAGCCTTTTCACTTCAGAACCGAGAGAGCTCATATAGCTTTCAGGGCTGTACCTGGACCCGGCCATGCAGAATATGTGGAGTCGGTCTATAAAGCGACTCTAGTTCACTAGGCTCTGCTTGGGGTACTTTTCAAGCACCTGGTGTAGCACGAGTAACCGTAGAGCGTGTTACAGGTCAAAGGCTGTGGCACACAAATTGAAGGAACCCTCCCCCTTAAGACTTCTTAATATATATTATCTATGCCTATCGAGTGCGGGGGAAGATGAAGACTTGATAGGGGTGTATTTTCTGGGTCCTGCAGTGGCACTCCCAAACTCTGCCTGTTAGTAGGGTGCAGGATGCCTTCCACACCACAACTGCAGTAACTCACAGGGCATTGCCCTTCTGGAGCCGGTCTTGTGTAGTCTTTGTACAAGTTTCCGTCTGCTGCCTTTGCAGGGCTTAATGGATGTTCAGGCCTCATCTGATGCCAGGTTCAGATGTAGGCCTTTCAGAAAGCTATTTGTCCAAATTCCAGCAATGCTAAGCTTATTGAGCAAACTAACTGCTCATGCCTGGCTTTTGAAAGCGAAAAACATCTTGCTGCCATATCGCTAGCAACAAGCACCCATTATCTGCAGTGTCCTGGAAGCTGTCACAGACAAGAGAATATGAACAGTATGTGTGGGCACACATTGTACCACAAAGGTATCTGTTCAGGTGTCTGAGCATTTACTCAAATACTCATGCTTAGTATTGGCACCAATGCCAGTATCGGTGCATCCTTAGTTATTGATATTAAAAGCTGAACTAAATTGGTGTGTGTGTCTTTGTGGTGTTTTGTTTTTTTTGGGGGGGGTTTTGACAGCTCATACTATCATTTTCCAACTGAAGTAGTACTGTTAAAAGTGAATTGTTTAATTTTTATTTACCATTATCTCATAGGCAATGTCCAGAAGGGGTGCACCTACAGAGCCTCAAGGTGTAGAAGTGGCATTGGCTCCTGAAGAGCTTGAATTGGATCCATCTGCTATGACACAGAAGTATGAGGAAAGAGTACGGGAAGCACAGGAACAAGTACAAAAAGAGGACTTCAGTGACATGGTGGCGGAACATGCAGCAAAGCAGAAAGTATGCCTTTTGCTTCAAATACATATTTCTGTGTCTCTATTAAATAAATATATATATATATATAAGAATATATTTTTTACTGAAGCAAAATGAGTGATGTTTGCTGCGGTTTTACAAGGGCAAAAAATAGACTAATAAATTGACCTAGATAGTACCCTGTTTATTAATTCACTATTTTGTATCACTCATTGTGACACATCTTTCATCTTCTTATAGCAAAAGAAAAGAAAGGGACAGCCACAAGATTCTCGTGCAGGAGGGAAAAAATACAAGGAGTTCAAGTTCTGAGTACTACATTTTTTTTTTTTTTTTTTCCTTTTTTTTTTTTTTTCATCCAGTGTCAGTTGTTTTTATTTGTAATAAACTATTGTAAATCGTATATGTTTTTACTGGTTCTTCTATACATTAATAGTGAAAATGTACAATATTGTAAAGTTGGTTGGGGATAAAATGTCATAGGAGGATACTCTTGAAAACTTTAACAGTTTGCTCTATGATTATCCAGTGTCTTACTGAACAGGTTAATGATTATAACATGTAGCTGTTACATGTATTCCCTTGGTTTAAAGGATTTCCATCTGTGCTAAAGAGTTTTTTTCGGTATAATATTGAGGGATCATCTGTGCTAGAGATTTCTCAGTATATCATGGAGAGCTTCTTTCATTCAGTAGGAGATCAAGGGAATGCTACATGTCTCTCAGTACAGGCTTCTTAATCACTGGAATACCAACCTCTAATACCCCTTCATTACCAAGTCATTTTTCAGTTTTCAGCACTATGATAGTTTGACTGACAATTGCTCTGTTGCGCAACACTACCCAAATGGATTTTATATAATTTCATTGGACAGATAATTCTTTCTGTAAATAAGCAATAAAAGTGAGCGCTCTATGGGGTAAGCTGCTGGACACTCAAGGAAACCAAAATAAAGCCTTATAGAGAATGCACAAAAATAGTGCAGCGCTATAAATGTAGTGAAAATTGATATGCAAAATGATCTAAATGACTGCGTACAGTAAAACAGTCAATATGTAAAGGATAGTAAAATATTGAAATATGAATAAATGTTCCGTATTGTCACTAAAGGCTACTGAATAGTCTATATAGTGCTCTCCTTATAATCCGTGATGGTGTTCCCAGTAATGTAGAGAGATTGTGCACTCACCAGATGCACAATGTAAATGTGCATTAAGTAAAATCCACAGAAACCTCCTTTAGGGTCTGGTCTGGGATAGGGGAAGATGTCCTCCCTCTGTATGGTTCGTCTGGTCAGGAACACGCGGAGATGATTCTCCCTCTAAGTGGATAGTGGTGGTGGAGGCACACAGGATAAGAAGATCCAGCTAGCCAGAGGTCCCCCTAAGGGCTAGGTGGGTGCAGGTTGCCTGGGTACAGGATCTCCCTTGGACATGCTGCTGTTCGGTGCGATGAGTCGGTACATGGAGGAGGCCGGTCTGGTGAAGCTCGCTCCACAGCGGAGGTATTATAGCCGGCCAGACACGTAGCAAAGTCCCTGGACCAACCTTTCCCCGCCAGGCTCCGCCCCCTCATCATCCACCGCACTTTCTCACTATAAAAAGGGAAAAAAGGACCAAAAAAACTTGAAGAAAAACAGTTTCATTTATCTTCAGTTAAAATAAAAATACCAGAATAGCATGAAAACCCCCAAATTATTATTTTTTTTTTTTTTAGGGGAAACTAGACACCCCAAGGCGATCTAGTTTTTTGCCACAATTGTTTGGAAATAGACAGCCAGAGCAAGGGCAGAGCTTGAGAATGGTGTCACAGATACGTTAATGTACAGGTCATACAGAGGAAGGAGGAGGTGAAGGGGTTAATGTACTGATGTGCAGGATAAGGGAGGTGAAAGTGTCACTAAACCCAGGACCCTATCTGGTCTTGCACAGTACACACAACATGAAAATGCAATTATTTTAGTAAATATAAACTGCTAAATCCCTTTTTCCATCAGCAGTATATAGCAGTCTTGTGACTTCTATCAGTGTCCAGCAGAGCAATGGTTAAAGCTTTTAGTAGGAGTTTTCATTCTGCTCTTACTGTCCGATGAGGCTAAATGGCCTTTTTAATGCACCCTACCAAAGGGAAAAAAAAAAAAAAAAAAAAACTCTTAGCAATGCATACCAAACTGAACACATGCAGAGTGACTCCTAGAGCTCTGTACTATCAGGAGTTGGATTGGGCACAGTAGAAGGGTAGGATCAGAGAAATCAGGATCAAATGGCCTTTTCACACAATGCGGAGGATTAACCCCTTAGGCTCCATGGTGAGTATAACAGGCATGCTTTACTGCATATACAGACTGATTTTTACTGTTGTGGGTTTAGTAACACTTTAATAAACAAGTCATATGGATATGAGTGGGGGGCATGGGGATTAATAAAAACTGATCCTTGAGTCAGTGAAACAGAATGAATGAATCTGCAGCTGATTAACCATTCTGTCCCCGTTCACAGGTATACAATCTCTCCTTCCTGTGTTGGAAGGGGAGGGATCAGTATTGTAAACGTTATCATGTGATCTCTGATGACTGACTACAGCGATCACATGCTACCAAGCTGTCTACTAATGACTTTGTACACAAGGATTACTGGGGGGATCCAGCCACCTGACTGCTATTTATCCAGCACCATTCATAAACTGAAAAAAAAGACCCTTTCCTGGTTGGGTCTGTCACGAACAGCATTGGGTAAATAAAGGGCCGCCGATCCGCCATTGGAAAACCTACGACAGCACAAGTGTGGTTAAGCAATGTAACGGAACCGGAACCCAGACCGCACTGAGTTTTTCCGTTATAGCACAACTTCCCCTGTCCGAACACCATCCACGGACCACACCCTCGAAATCCCTCAGGAAAAAAAAGACAACACCCAGCTCTTACTAAAACAGGAAGCCAACTACTCTTTATTTACACAAAACACAGAATATATACAGAGGGCGGGGAAACACAACCAGGAACAGGAAATACATCATCAGCCCACCCTCTCAGAGGGAAGGGCTACAGTATAGGCAGGAAACACCTCCTCACCCCTCCCCATCCAACCAGACACAGAACAATGAGATGCAACCATGTGGCAAAGGACATTGACCAACCCCCACACCAATACAAACAGTACATCCCATAATAGTTCTCTGGACTGGAAGACACAGCACAATGGGGTGTAGCACATGGTAGTAGACAATGGACAGCCATGTGGCCTAGACAAAGGAACACACACTATACACAGGACTCAGACATTCACATACACACCCTGTAACCCTTAACAGGCACAGGGTGGGTTAAACATAATGATTTGGGGAGATGATACAGAGGTCCCCCCCCACCCCCAAAAGTCGCTCCCGTCACAAGCAAGAAGTAAAATGTCATTGCTGAATTGTGCTAACAATTGCTTGACCAACATACTGGTAACAGTGGCTTCAGTACTTTGGAGGAGTTATGACTTCATGTGGTGCATGGTGGTGGCTTCAGGCCAGTGACTTAGAATTAAAGCCAGACAACTTGCCTACTTTTTTTTTTTTTTTTTTTTTTTTTTAAACTTAAAGTTAGTTAATTATTTTAATACTAAATTCTGTGTAAAATTTGCAGATATTAATGAAGCCAGGGTACTTAGATGTTAAATATACTTGGTTTCTGAGGGTCTAATAATCCCTTAATTTTCATGATAGATGCTGGCCTTTTGGAAGCTAGAGCTACTTTGTTTCTGTACTGGCCATTGACAGTTGTTTGTGTATAAGAATGCAGGCACTGTATGAAATATCATACTTCTAGGTGGGTTATGCTGTGGCACATCTCCTACTGTCTGTACAGGACTCTGTCAAGATGCACTTTTACACTACTTAAAGCGGGGCAAAAAGTTGCACTTATTATTATTATACAGGATTTATATAGCGCCAACAGTTTGCTCAGCACTTTACAATATAACGGGAGACAATACAGCAACAATACAATTCAATACAAGAGGGATAGGAGGGCCCTGCTCCTTGGAGCTTACAATCTAGGTTATGAAGCGATCCCCCCCGGTAGACTGGGAGAGAAGTGTGGGTTCCCTAAAATTGGGTAAAAGGGGGAGTAAGCAGATGACAGAAGGGTGGTGAGGCACAACTGGGCACAAATGGTCAGCGTGGGTCCCAGAGTCTGATGCCTCGAGGTTGGATGGAAAGTCCCTAAAGCATGAGGCAGCTAAGTGTAAAGGGATATTGCTTTGAGATTGTTCAATCTGCGGCCACAATTTGATGTCACTATGTCTGCACCACTCTGAGTGTTCCTAAATGCGTTGCTTGGAATATTTGTGGATGTTCGGGACTGCAAGGCCCCTGGGTTTTTTCGGGTAGAGTGAGTAAAGCGCCTTTGAAGTCTAGGTCTCTTGTGGGCCGATATAAAGTTAATAAGTACGGCATTTGCTTGTTTGAAGAATTCCCTGGGCATATGGATCGGTAAGGCTTGAAAAAGATAAGTGAATTTAGGCAAAATGGATATTTTGATATTACATCTGCCAAACCAAGAAAATAGACCTTGGTGCCAGGTAGAGAGCAGAGTGCGTACTTTACTAAGTAGGGGTACAAAGTTTAGCGTATAAATTTGGCTTCGATATGGAGGAATATAGGTGCCTAGATAGTTAAGTGCTGAAGTAGTCCATTTGAAGTTTGATTTCAGGGTATCTACAGTTGTGTTCAAAATAATAGCAGTGTGTTGAAAAAAGTGAATACAGCTCAAAATCCTTCTAATAGCTTTTATTTCGATACACACAAATGCATTGGGAACACTACACATTCTATTCCAAATAAAAACATGAAGAAAAATATATCAAATTTGTGTTCATCCTCTAAAAAATTGAAGAAAAGTGAATATTAGACTGTTCAAAAAAATAGCAGTGTTTGTATTCTTCTTTACAAACTCAAACATTCACTATATAAACTGAAAAATGTTTGAAGATTTTGCTTTCCTTTGAATCACTTAATGAATATTTTGTTGTATAAGTACTGTTTCTGAGAACTGCTGTACATTAGTGTTGCATGGAGTCAACCAACATCTGGCACCTGTGAACAGATATTCCAGCCCAGGATGATTGGACTAAATTCCACAGTTCTCCTCTATTTCTTGGTTTTTCCTGAGAAACTGCATTTTTGATGTTACCCCCACAAGTTTTCTATTGGATTAACTACTTGCCGACCGCAGATAGCCGAATGACGGCTGCACTGCGGCCGGCCAGTTCTGGGTGGACGTCATATGACGTCCTCCCAGAACGCGCTCTCCTGCGCGCCCCCGACGATCTCCGTGATTGCTGTGTCCTACGGACACAGCTGACCCCGTGACGTGGTAAAAGGCCAATCACAGCGGCCTTTTACCACGTGATCAGCCGTGTCCAATGACACGCTGATCACCGGGAAATGCAAATGCCGGTTCTCGGCTGCACTTTCCTCACGCTGTCAGATCGTGAGGAAAGTACTGCCGAAAACCGGCAGTTGTCAGAGCGGGGATCGGCACCGATCATCAGGGTCACTGATCATCAGTGCCCTGATGATCGGTGCCCAGCAGTGCCACACACAAGTTCCGCCCACCTGTGCCCAGCAGTGCGCCCACCTGTGCCACCCACCTGTGCCACCACCTGTGCCAAGAAGTGCCACCCACCTGTGCCCACCAGTGCCACCCACCTGTGCCCTTCAGTGCAGCCCAGCAGTGATGTCAGTCAGTGCTGTCTATCAGTACCCATTATCAGTGCCGCATATCAGTGCCACCTATCCGTAACACCTCATTAGTGCTGCCTATCCGTGCCACCTCATTATTGCCGCCTATCAGTGCCCTTCAGTGCTGCCTATCGGTGGCCATCAGTGCTGCCTCATCAACGCACATCAGTGAAGGAGAAAAATTACCTGTTTGAAAAATTTTATAATAGAAACAAACTTTTTTTTTTTTCAAATTGTTTTGCAATTTTTTTGCTTATAGCACAAAAAGTAAAGCTCCCAGCAGTGATTAAATACCACCAAAAGAAAGCTCTATTTGTGAGAAAAAAATTATAAAAATTTCATATGGGTACAATCTTGCATGACCGCGCAATTGTCAATCAAATTGCGACAGCACTGAAAGCTGAAAGTTGGCCTGGTAAATAAGGGGGTATAAGTGCCCGGTAGGCAAGTGGTTAAGATCCGGGGATTGGGCTGGCCACTCCATAACGTCAATCTTGTTGGTCTGGAACCAAGGTGTTGCACGTTTACTGGTGTGTTTGGGGTCGTTGTCTTGTTGGAACACCCATTTCAAGGGCATTTCCTCTGCAGCATAAGGCAGCATGACCTCTTCAAGTATTCTTATGTATTCAAACTGATCCATGATCCCTGGTATGCGATAAATAGGCCCAACACCGTAGTATGAGAAACATCCCCATATCTTGATGCTTGCGCAACCATGCTTCACTGTCTTCACGCTTAGAATATTTTTCATACAATAGTGCTTAGATGACAAATGTCACACAGAAGGGAGGCTTTTTGCAGTTTCACTACCTGTTCTTGTTTGCTGCAGCAAAAACCCCAGTGCTATATTCCATTTATCTTCACCTCAGTTGTGCTCTTCCATATATCCTTCTGCATGTGTAGTAAACATCTACTCTTTTAGCATCTGACAAGTTGTCAATAATTAAGTCTGGCATTTGCCTTGCAGAAGAAAACAATACACAGAGGTACAGCAGAATTTTTTTCAGCTGACTAAAACTCACTTGATTATATTTATTTGTATTTGAAGTGTTGGCTGTACTTCTTTTACAAATATATACTTTTGCTGTAAAGTTCCCATTTAATGGCTTGTCTAAGAAAAAAGTTGTTCTTACAATGCAATATACTGCTCTGTCATAATGGTCTGTACAGGTGGTTTGAGGAGATATCAGACGATTGAAATTTGGGGTAAATGTGCGGAGAGGCAATAGAAAGCTTGATCAATACCATCTAAACCCTTTTATTGTACAACTGAAATCTCCAGAAATTCCATGCAAAAAGTCTTTATATTTTATAGTATGGTTTTTGTTTCTTCTTATCCAGAAATGGTTGAAACTTGCCTGATGACTTTTGTATGGAGAAATAAAAATTTACAAATTCCCCCTGCTTGCAACAATTCTTGCATGTATGAGGCTAGGAATTCTCTCTTCTGTGAACCTGAGGGGACCAAGGGTTCATAGAAGAGAAGTGCAGTGGCCGGTGCCAAAACTTAATGTGATACCCTTGACAAATTTCAAAACCATCCATGCTTTGGGCGGGCAAACCCTTGAAAGGAATTTTTTTTTTTTTTTTATCACCTTGGGAAATTTCCTCAGACTTGCCTCCGATGACCAACTTGATGGTGTCGTCCCAGGTCTGCCCACCATTGTATTTATAGAGCAGAGGCTCTATTTGGAAGATGGTGATACAGTACTTCAACAATAAGGGTCTTATAACTGTAACAGTATAAGCCATCAAAGCCGAACCAAATCCACTGCTACTTCGGTAAGTGGCTCATTTAGGGCTATAAATTATGAAGGCTCTGTCCACATCTGACTGCAGTGCTGGTTCCAAATTTCCCCTCACCAGCGCTTTCTCAGTAGGAGACAAACACATGCAAATTATTGCCCTGCCATTTGGCCAATCCTCTGCTCCTAGTGTATTCAAAAATGTACTTGCACCACTTGTCACCCTCCTAAGAACTCTAGGCATTCAAGTAACAGGGTATCTAGATGACCTTATTCTGAAGAACTCCTCTCCCATTCAATTATCTGCAAACATCCAAATGATTATTCTGATGCTTCAGGCGTTTGGTTGGGTAGTCAACATTAATCACGTCTGCTCTCCCTTCACCTCGAATATTAGGGCATCATTCTGGACTCAGCCCAGGCCACAGTCTTTCTTCCAAAAAACAAGATTCTCTCTAGGATCTGATACTCGGCTCTTAATATTAAAGAAACATCCTTTGGCAAGGTTCTCTTTGAGGGTTCTGGGCATCACGTTGGCCTTATTAGAGTCTGTACCCTTTGCTCAATTCCATTCAAGTCCTCTCAAACAGAACATTTTATTGGCTGCAAACAAGCACGCTCCTATAAACCTCCCTATCTCCAGCTAAGCAAGGAATTACCCTGCTTGGTAGACTTACAATGCAGACAGTGGGGGAAGTCATGTCTAGCACAGGTTTTATAACAGGTGCCAGCCTTACAATCTGGGGAACAGTGTTCCGTTTGCTCACAGTTCAGGGAACAAGGTCGCCCAAGAAATCCAAACTCCCAATTAACATCCTGGACCTCAGAGCAATAAAACTAGCTCTGAATCCGTGCAACTTCTTCTGGATACAATCAGTCAACACCACGGTTGTGACCTATATCCACAGCCATGGGGGGACCAGGAGTCAGGCAGCCTTAATGGTAGTAGGTCTGAGCATCTCACTGGCAGATAAATGCTCTCCAGCCCTCTCTGCTGTTCACATCCCAGGAGTGGACAATTGGAAGACAGATTACCTCAGCTGTCTCAGGATAATTACCGTATTTGCCGGCGTATAAGACGACTGGGCGTATAAGTCGACCCCCCAACATTTCCACTCAAAATATAGAGTTTGTTATATACTCGCCGTATAAGACTACCCCCTCTTCCGCACACCTTCCGTCTACATGTCACTAGCAGCAGTCTGGTCCGCCCTTGAATCCATATTATGGATAGCACCAGTATTATAGTACCGTATATTAATACCAAGTGACATATGGTATATTATGACCTGATAAGAGATTTGGATAGGGAGTGCATAAGAAGGGGGGAGGGGGCGAGGAGAAAGTTGTAAAATGTATAAAAGTATACCCCTGTGTGCATTTATTGTTACCGGTTTCACATGAGTGCCCGTAGTATTAGTGCCACTACAGTACCTGTCATTGTCACCATTGTACACGACCGCAGCGCCTCCGGCCAGTCCCTGCATCTCCCTGTAATTGGCACTAGTGCGCATGTGCGAGTTCTGCATAGACAAGGGGCGGGCCGGAGCGCCGCTGCTTCCCGCCGAGCAGAAAAGGCTGGCACCCCTGTATCGCTGCTGATGCTCGCCGCAGCCACGCTGATGACCCGCCGCGGCCGCACTGGATACCGCGCGATACTGGATGGTATGTAGAATGAGGCGGGCGGGCGGGCATCGGGAGGCCACTATGGCAGCTATATCTATCCCAACTGAAGTGCACCCGGCGTATAAGACGACCCCCCCACTTGGAGGCATGTTTTTCAGGGCAAAAAAGTCGTCTTATACGCCGGCAAATACGGTAGTCCATATCTTTGTCTGTTTGTGGTGATTGATTCTCACCTCCTTATTGCCTCTCTGATCAGAGAATCAATCATCTTTTATGACTCTGGCCTGTGTCTGTGGCTGACTGTCTTTGACCAATTCCCCCCAATTCATGTGTTCCTTATCAGTTTCTAATTGGGGTAGAGAAGGATTGCTAATTTGATCATTTACCTATAAATTTAGACCAGCTTATGGGGGAAGTCACAAATAGGGCATTGTCCTGCATGAGTGCATTTTCTGCTGGAGTGCGAAACAGCAGTTGAACACAGCAGTTTAATTAAAGCAGGATAACTAACATAGCTAACGTAGCAAGAAGATACAACAAAGTAGTCTACTGCACTCTGGAAGGACTGCAAGCAAAACACCCTGGGAAACATCTACAAGTTTGATTCCCACTCCATCTACCTTTTAATATGCCCCCACTACTCCTTTTCATATTACTATCCTCTATACTCAAAATCTAATTTCTTTACCCCCTCTGCTCCACCCCAAAGTTTATACATATCACCCTCACTTCTACCATCACCCTACTACTGCTCTCATCACCTCCTGCTAATTCTTAACTCATCTGCTAAACCAAACACCAGGACAGGAAGGCATGTGCACTCATATACATCCCGCTCCCATCTTACTTTCCTCACTCTCCTAACCTCTGGGGATATCTCCCTGAACCCTGGTCCTCCATTATCGCACCCTCCCTCCTCCAGGGATAGCCTCAATCCACTCAATTTAATCTTAATCCTCCTGCTCCTAAAACCCTCCTCCCTTTTTCATGTGCACTCTGGAATGCCCGTTCTGTAATAAGCTCACCTCTGTCCATGACCTTTTTGTCTGCCACTTCCTTAAGATACTAGCAACTGCAGAAACCTGGCTTCAAGCATCAGATTCTGCTTCTTCCGCAGCACATTCCTATGGAGGCCTCCACTGGACTCACTCATCCAGACCCAGTGGTCAGAAAGGAGGTGTAATTGGTTTGCTTCTATCCCCACTGAGCACCTTTCACGTCCTCCCTACACCTCCTTCTCTATCCTCTTCTTTCGAGACTCGCTGCATTTGGCTGTTTTTTTTCTCCCATTTCTCTGAGGATTGCACTGATCTATCTTCTTCCCTGGACCGGTGTCACACTTTCTTAATGACTTTTCTGCTTGGCTACCCTACCTTCTCTCCTCTAAATCACCCAGTATCATTCTTGGAGTTTTTAACATCACCATTAATGTGAAAAACCCAGCTACATCCCAACTCTTCAACTTAACCTCATCTTTTGCCTTAACACAATGGACACAGTCCTCCACTCACTCTGATAGGAAAGCATTAGACCTTGTTTTCTCCCATCTTTGCACTCCCTACAACCTCACAAACACCCCCTTTCCTCTCTCTGATCACAATATCTTCACCTTCACAATGGCCTTATCTTCAAACACTTATCCCTCCAAGCAACAAACAATTACCCGCAGAAACCTTCACAAC